TGCTCTCCTCTGCCTCCTGCCCAACTCCCTCCACTTCCACGTCTTCGTTCCCCTCCTCTCCTTTCACACTTGCTGCTGCCCTTCCCCCCCCCCCCCCCACGCTTCATTCTGCTCCTTGCCCCCTCCCTTCCCGTCGTTTCATTCCGCATGCCTGGAAGGCATCGAGCACGGTCTCGACCGACTCAGCGCAAGAGGCCCCGAGCCGCTCCTTCGCGTCCTCTACCCACTGCTGGAGCTCTTGCAGCAGCTGGCACTCGCTCACAGCCGGCGAGGAGGAGGAGAGCAAGAGGAGGAGGCTACGCACGGCGAAGAGAAGGGTAAGGGAGCGAGCACGGTCCTTTGCAGCGTCTCCTCCTCCTCCTCCTTTGCCGGAGAGGGAGCGACTATACTTCACGATGGACCGGAGGAAGGCATTCTGGCTCCGTCCTTTTCTCCTGCCACTCATCCGCAGAGCAAACGACCCGAAATGTTTGTCCACAAGCTGATCGAAGAAGAAAGCGCGCGCGGACGCGAGCTCTTGCAGCGACAACGGATCTCCTTCGCTTCGTCCTCCTCCTCCTCCTGCCCCTCCTCCTGCCCCCCCCGCTGGTGCTGGTCCAGCTTGTTCCTCAGTCCCCTTGTGTTCTTGCACGGCTCTGCTTCCTTCGTCAACCTCCATCGGATCGCGCGCGTCGTCCGCCAGCTTCCCTCGCCCCCATCCTTCCCCTCCTGCCTCTCCTCCTCCTCTCCTGCTGCTCGTCGATTCAGCATGGAGGCATGACGCCCTCCAGTAGGCTTGCAGGAGGAGAAGCCGGCCTCCTCCCACCAAATATCGCTGTGTGAGGAGCGAGGTCTACAAGACACGTCAGCATGAGAAGCAAAGCAAGTAGAGGAAGGGAGTGAGAGGAGGACAAGAGGGTGCAGCAGGAGCGGGAGCAGCAGGAGCGGGAGCAGCAAAGCATTTCTCACAGTAATGACTTCACGTAGTGAGTCATAGCTGCAGTTCCAATGGAGCAGGAGAAACTCAACTGAGAACAGAAGCATGTCAGTTAGAAGTAGAACATTCGCAAACAGACAAGACGGGCAAGCGAGATCAGAATCAATGCAGACGACAACTTTACATTCACCGACAAACGTGTCACAAGAGTCAACAAGCGGAGAGCTTCATCGATCGTCATCTCAGTGACGACAGAAACATGTCATGACAAAACGTCGTGTCTAGTCACCAAGGAAAGATTCAAGACTTCGCCAGAGTGCTTCGACCGTCACATCCAAAGTCCTGTGACTATCCTCCCCCATCGTCTCTTGTTTCACTATCACCCCCATAGCCTGGTTTCCGTCTCGTTTCGATTCCGCCTTTCGCTTCCGCTTTTTTTCTTTCTTCTTGCGATCCTCCTCTTCCTCCTCATCATCGTCCTCGTCCTCGTCCTCGTCCTCATCATCATCGCACAGAGCATCGGCTGTTTTCATGCAGCACTGAATGATGTTAGCAATAGACAGCCTGACGTTCCTGCACACAACAAGTCAGAAGCCAGCGACAAGTCAAGTCAAGTTTACTCCGAGTGGTACGTCAGGCAACCGTCTTCAATCGTGCAGAATTCACTGACGGCCCAATGGGAAATCTCCGGCCAGCCCTGGGCCTTGACGGCATTTCGCTCGTTGAGGCTGAGCAGTCGGAGGAAGCTGAAGAGGAGGCAGCAGCGATGGGCGAAGTCATTCTGTTGGTCACGTTTACGCTTCCTCCCATTGATCAGGCTCTGACCAATCCTATTCTGCGTCTGACTTCTGTTGGAGAACATCTCCTGCAGCTGCTTGCAGCCGTCTTGAAACATTTTCAACAGCTCCTGTGGCCAAAGTCACTTCTTCAGCATCCTCGCCAGTCTCTGCGCTCACCTGGCCTTCAACTTGAAAAGACTCGCAAGTCCCTTCCGAGCGGTTGGAGTAGAACTGAAGGCAGCGGACCAGGCTCGAGTACCACTCCCTAGCCTGTGACATCGCAGGTCAGTCAGTGTCACTGGCAGCACTTGGCGTGTTCTGACACCTTATACCACCATACTCTCATCTCTCCTCCCTCTCATTTCATTTCTACCACTCATTGTCATCATGGAGTTTCTTCACCATGACCCCATATCATCCTTCACCAACCAATCTTTCTGCTCCAGCTCCTCCTTCTACTCGTCCTCGTTCTATTAAAGTACTACCACCTGCTCCTGCTCCTGCACTTGCGCCTGCTCCTACTCCTGCTCCTACTCCTGCTCCTGCTCCTGCCCCTGCTCCTGCCCCTGCTCCTGCCCCTGCTCCTGCCCCTGCTCCTGCTCCTGCTCCTGCTCCTGCTCCTCCTACGTAGCTTACCAGACTTGACGAGACTCGCTCAGTGTCAAGAATCCGCTTCAGCATTTGACCGAAGCAGTGAGGCGAAGGGCATTTCCCGGACATGAGCAGGCAATGAATCTCCTCACGGATACTGGTGATACCGTCCTCGTCTCCATGAGGATCATTTTGATCGCAGCTAGCAATCTGCAGCGAGTAAGCCACTGTCTGCCTTGGAGAAACGTTTACCTCATGAAACTTAAAAGTTGGCCTCGAGCTCTTGCGTTTCGTCGCCACCTCTTCTTTCCGCCCCTCTGGACGGAGGAAATCCTCCAGGGCCATCCTGTCACCTGCCCCTGTCTCGTCCCCATCGCCCTCGTTCCTATCGACCCCGTTCCTCTCGGCGAGGACAGATAGGTAGCTCTGCAGCGTCTCCTTGCTCTTCGCCTCAACAGCTGGATTCTCGCTCTTCTTCTCTTTCTTCACCGTTGCCTGATTCCTCGTCTTCCTTCCAAGGATGACGCTCTCATATGATAACCCATTTCCTCCTCCTCCTCCTCCTCCTCGTCCTCGTCCTCCTCCTCCTCCTCCTCCTCCACTTGACACCCTCTCCTTGACCTTCGCTGCATCGCCATGATCCAGATGACTGGCGTAGGAACTTCTTGCAGCGGGTACACTGGGCATGGAAGACGAGGAAGACGCATCGACACCATTCTGCGCCCCATTCCTGCATCCTGTCTGTCTCCTTGCTCCCGAAACCTCCGGCGGCCCCCCCCTTAGACGGGAAGGCCGTGCACCTTCTTCGTCAGAGTCGATGAAGCTCTGAAACGCATCGATGTCGACAGAAGCAGAGTGGTCGTTCTGTGGTCACAAGTCACAAGTCACAAGTCACAAGTCACAAGTCACAACAAGTGGACAAGTGGACAAGTGGACAAGTGGACAAGTGGACAAGTGGACAAGTGGACAAGTGGACAAGTCACAAGTCACAAGTCACAAGTCACAAGTCACAACAAGTGGACAAGTCACAAGTCACAAGTCACAACAAGTGGACAGGATTACAAGTCAACGTGTAAAAAAGAAATGGACAGGACAAGAAAACCAAGAAAAGAAAAGAAAAGAAAAGGAGAAAGGAAGAAAGGAAAGCAAGAAAAGAAAAAGAATCAACATTGTGTCACTCCAACCACATGTCATGCTCTCAACATCCGCATCTCTCGCCAACGACATCGCAGACTGCATCAAAATCTCTTTCCCCCCAAGTACAACACAACACAGCTCAGCACAACACCGCACAACAGCAGGCACCTCAACGCCAACGAAGACGACGTCCGAGTCATCCGATGAGGAGTCTGAGTTGTCGATCGTCAAGTCAACAACCTCTCCTGCCTCCTCACAGGTTGGTTGCTCCTCATTAATCATCTACAAACCCGCGCAACTGAAACACATGTCGGAGGAGCTGCAATGGAGGAAAGTGAGGTTGAGAGCAGCACGCGCAAACAGCTCCTCTTGCTTTCTTCACTCCATCCACCTTCACCTCCTCATCTCACTCTCAGATTCCTCATCGCCCGTTGACATGTCGGCGCTTTCATATGATAGTCTGAAGCTGCCATTTCTCACTAACCGTCCAACACCTTCTAATCGCCACGGCGGGCTGTTTGTACGCATCTTTGTCATACATGATCATATCCTTCCATCTTCCCCTGATCAGCGAGACCCATGCTTGCATAAACTCAATGGAATTCTGAAAAACCTGCTCGAATTCCCTCTTCCTCTTGTCAGATTCACTGTTCTCAACCTGCTTCCTCTCTCGACATCTTTCATCATGCCTCATCGCGGCGTATCTTCTCTCTCCTTCTCATTATCTCATCGGCATCCCTCCTTCCATGCTTCCTTCTCATCATTCCTCCTCCTCCCCTCTCTCCGCCCATGTTGTGCATCGCCAGGGCCTTTGTCTTTCTGGTTCCTGGTCTGAGCTAAGAATGTGGTTTAGCTCTGAGAAAGCTAAACTACCGGCAGGGCAGTTTCAGTTTCCGAGTCACGAGTGACCGGACCGGCCCCGCGGCGGGCCCGCCGGGCCGGGGGTCTCCGGGGCCTGTCCCCAACTTGAACTTCAAGGCTTGCCGCAGTGCGGCGGCCGGGCCTCAGGCTGCCGGGCTCGGAGAGGCACGCCGTTCAATGAGGTCCCGTTCATGCCGCAGTGGACCCTTCCGAACTTAGGAACATTCTGTAGGATTTCGCCCAGGAAAAACCAAGGAAAAGAAGCTTTTTGTCAGTTCTCGATCTCCCAGTACCGGTTATGACTAATGACCCGGTGGTTTTCCCTGAATAAGGGGGTGGTGGTACCTGGATTGTTTGAGAGGGGTCGTTGAATTAGTTTTTAATACAGCGTGTTTTTGTTCAAATATCTGATAGCTATTTTTGTAGGAGTCAGTTAGACATTTGTATCATTTTCGTTTTATTTATTTTTATATATATAAACACATACATGATGTTTACATATTGTTACCAGGAACTTCCAATCCCGTACAGAATGTCACAACATACCGGTACTGCTTACCCCAAAATCTATGTGGGGTGGGTGGAAATCGTCCCACCGCATCCAAAGACTTTTACTCAAAGTTTTAAGTCAAAGAGGATTTTATGTTTGGAATGGCATCATTCTACAACAGAGCATGAGATTGTGATGATTGAGCAGAGTCTCTCGAGATCCCAAGCATTCTCTTTCTACAAGCAACACTGCATGGCAAGCAAGGATGCGAATTTCACCGTCAATGGGGCTTTGGCATGTTACATGCCGGGAGCAACACAACACAAGGCGTTGTCGTCATGTGTTTGTCTAGGATAAATCGTATCCTCCTCATGTTTGGAAAGTTTTGAATAGCCTTGAAGATTTTCCTGCAGATGAGCCGCCCAGTCATATTTACCTTCTCAACCCCTATGAAGCACATTCTGAGGTTTACACAGGATTTCTGTCAGAACCTGCAACAGTTAACATGGACACATGCAAACGTATGAAGAAGCATGGACACGTGCAAATGTATGAAGAGGATGTTGCTTCTTCGAAGATGGTATGGAAAGACTCGTGACAATGAAGAAAGTTTGGGCCAGGAAAAATTTGAGGAAATTTCCCAAATGCGTTAAGCTTTCCTCATAGCTGCATTGTACCATCAATCAGATGTAGGTAGCCTCATTTTAAATGTTCTAGGCAGGTGCGAAGCGGATGTTCTCCTATAAAATTTATGGTCTACGATACTGATTCATGCAACACTTGTGATTTTCTGATCGTAATAATCAGATTGTCAGAGTGTGTTTCCATATGTTAGATAACCTCCTCCACTCAATATGGTAGATTGAATTTGAGCTTAATGATAGTTTACTAAACCAAAGTTGAGGGTCCTCTCAAATAAAGCTTGGTTTAACATCTCTGCATCTGAGCAGCAAGTGTGCTGCTTTTCGCTGCAAGTCAGATGTCAAGCTTTGCATCAACAATAATTTTCTGCGACAGAGCAAGTATTCATTTGAATCCAGGAATATATATGTCAAAATCAAGCCTGCATGCTTTTCTTGCTGGAATTCTATCTGAAAGTCTCTTGAGAAGCTAGTCATCTCTGCAGAGTATCTGTGAACTCTCCAGCGCGCAGTGTTGTAACAAGGGAAGTGAAACACGGAGATTATCCGTTTGAATGCTCTCACAACGATCATTGGGCTGCATGCCTTCCAGATATCTGCGATACCTTCTGTGTCATTGTCTCTCTCAACAGCTTCTCATCCAATGGTCCGCATCAGCAAAGGACAAGGAGGCAGCAAAATAAAATATTTTGGAGGAAAACTCTCATTGAAAAACTCAAAGCACATGTGTAAGCTTCCGAATCACACATCCGTCGCAAGCCTTCAAGCACACATGCATGTTGGGCTTCTGATTCACCTGTGTCATTGTCTCTCTCAACTGCTTCTCATCCAATGGTCCACATCAGCAGATGGTTTGCATCTATGCCAGCATCAAGGAAGGGTAAAGGACAAGGTGGCAGCAAAATAAAATATTTTTCATTTTGTACTGTTATCGACATATAAAAATTATTCTAGTGAACATTTCAAATCAATTTCGTAAGGTCTCAAATTACCTGGTACATCCGACGGCTCCGAGTCAACAACGGTTGATGTCAGGGTAGAAATTCATTGGTATGAAAAGACTACTTCCGTCATGCTTTCCCTGCTTTGACACTTGACTGTCACGGAAGAACGGTGGCACTCCGGCGCACACTGCCACGTTGCGTCCAACATAGCAGTCGGACGCTGATTCATACCTGAGGTACGGGTGTGCTCCCACTGGAACAGAATGTCGACGCTCCTTTCCGAATAGAGTGACTGCCTGCACAAACGTATACTCGATTCATCATGTGCTTTGAGATGAAGCGTGTTACCGATTTCGTTTGCCACATTGAAAGCCTTCCCATGAATTGCAGCTACTACTTCCTCATCCGCAATCAGAATTCTGTTGCAGAAAAGCTTTCGAAATCGCTCATATTTTTTTCACTTGCAGTGTGTGCCTGATACTCGTGATCACTGGCAGCACATGATGACCACAAGGCAACCTCACCTGGAGACAGACGCCCACCGCTAGTAGCAGTATGATTAAACCCATAACAGCACAAGTAAATGCCTGTGATATGTCATTCCACTGAAAGATTCCCTACCCCCTCCTCCCCAACTCATACTTACTCAGTGCAGGACATACTTCAGGTGAACGCACGTTGCTATAGACATGCTTTGGATCCAGCGGTTTCTTACCAGCCTGATCATTTTTCTAGTGAATTACGTAAATCGCAAGGCATCCCCGACAAATTCCATGTGATTGTACAAAAATGCGCATACGCTTCCGGATCTCGACATCAACTTCCAAGCCAGAATCAAAAAGGTTCTGGCCCAAACAAACATATTCTCTTTCTAGTTTCTGTAGCATAACCTTGGCGAATACTGAGTTCAAATCGTATGACAGGGGAACCTTTGATCACTTTTGCATCTTGGTTGCAAGACCAATAAAGTTTCAATGCTCGCTTACACTTTGCACGCGGCGTCGACCGCAGCTTCGAACCTCTTCAGGTAGCTCAGTGAGAACGGCACTCTCTGCAAGCTTGCATCCCATGAATGCAACAATGCCTGCAAGGGATACAGGATATATTGTAGGAGGTGAACAGGCTCTATCAAGGGATTGAAAGAAGGCATGAAAGATGAGATTGAAAGAGCGGTAAGTCTTTCACTGGCGAGTACGGGTGTGCGCAGGAGAATGGTTGTAAGGCATGGAAGGGACACGGGAAGGGGATCTTGCAGAGTGACGGAGGATGGGATGGAAGGTGCTGAGGACAGTGATGTTGGCGAGGTGGATGACGGAAACAGGCAAACGGTGAATGACAATACAGTGAAAGGGGACGAGAGCAGCTTGATTCCCACCAGTTTGAAATGGGTGGAGGCGAATACAAGAGCAATTTATACAACACACAATGGCATTTCGGAAACAGAGAGAAAGGATATCCTGTTTACAAAACCTTGAAGCCTCGCCATTTCTACACCAAAGATCATTAGAAGAGATGAAGTGAACTGCGGTTTCTTGTGAGGGAAATAGAAATAGAAGCCAGATTACTGGGGGTATGTGGAGCGGGAAGGTCATTGAGAAGCTGTTCCAGGTCAATCGGCTGTACAATGTATTGAAGGACGACATGATTGGTCAACACAAAGATCGTAGCGACGGGCCTGTTGAGATAGTCAGTTTGTGTATGAGGAGTTCTTTTCTCTAGCTTCTGACACCGAGTATGGTTTTGCACCGCTTGTGACCAGCCAGGATACCGTTCTTTCTGGTGTACGCTCCGTACAGGAATATCTTTGGAGTCAGGCAGGATCGGAAGAGCACGGTCGGCAGGGAGTAGGATAAAGTCAACAGCAAGCTCGACGAGGTCAAGAGCAAGTTCGATCAATCGAGTAGGGCGATGGGGCTCGTACTAAAGCATCTTAATGTCAACCCGTAATTGGGTTTTGTCAAGTGACTCTTACTGCAGACAGTGGCCCATGCCTGTCAAGACCTGTTGCATGCTTGTTGATGAGCGCTGCCATGTTTGTGTATTCAATGGTTACAGTGGCTCACCGAAGCGAGAGAGGTCAATAGAGTTGAGTGAGAGAGCCTCGGACTGGACTCATTGCAAGAACCCACGCGACTAACTTCGGACATACGATGATCTTTGGCACGCCGATGGATATGCTTTTGCGACTGAGTTCAGTTACTGCTATCGGAGTCACGCTCAGTGAAGGTGCTTCAAGTCTTCAGCGGTTGCTTAGCTCTGCTGCCATGGTAGCGCATCGATGTCCACGTTGCCTCCGCAAAGAACTACGCCCACCCTCTTAATGCCCTCCCGGTCCTTGAAGCTCTTGGAAAGAGCAGCAGCCTGAGGTGAAGGAGGATGAGCAAGAGCAAGAACAGGAGCAGGAGCAGCAAGCACAAGCAACTGACCACCCCAACGGCAGCGCTGGGCTCTATCACAAGCTTCATCCTCATCCAGACCAGCCGCATGGCCGAGACGATCTCCTCCTCCGTTACCGTGATGACCTCAAGGTGGGTCAGCCGCAACCCGTCCGATCTTCCTCCCTCATCCCCTCCCTCACATCGGTGATGTGATCTTGGATGATGGGCCATGTCAAGTCCCCCATGCTTGTCAGCAGCCCGTCTGCGATGGTCCGCGGGTCGGTTTGCTCGCAGAAAGTTCCCGTCCTGCCCCTGAGTCAAAGGCGCTGCTGTTCCCCTCCTGCTGGACCTGAACGACTTTGCGCAGTCATCAGCCCCAACGGGCTCAGCCGCGTACACTCGAATGTCTGCTAACACATCAGCACTACTCGCCTTGTCCACTCCCCTCGGCCTGCCCGCAGGCTGCCTGCCTTCCTCTCAGGCTGCCCGTGTCCCTGCCTTCAACCCGCTCTCACTATCTGGTTTACCTGGCTGAAGCCCCTTGGCAGCGATGCAGCACCCGGAGAGCATCCCTCCTCCTCCAACGGGGATGATGATGGCGTCAAGCTTGTCTTCCCCGATCTGTAGGAAGCAGGGTCATGCTACTCCGATCATGCTGCCGCGTCCTCTGCCAGGCACCGTCAACCTGAGTGAGAAACTCGAGGGCGAGAGTTCCTGCAAATGGGTAATGAGGGATCGACCTCGCCTGCCATCTGCATGCACCTGCTCCACTGATGATGTCCGGATGGTCGTAAGGTGGGACGAACACAGATCCAGGGTTCGCAGACAAGATCTCATCCGCTGCCCTCTGCCTGTCTGCTACGATGGGCTGAAAAGGGATGATAGTGATGAGTGTTTATCGAGGGAAAGACTCGCCGGGTTACCTCACAGAAGACAACCTTTGCACCATATTCCTTGACGGCATCAACCTTGGGTTTGGATGCGTTGGAAGGCATGACAATATGAGCTTCCATGCCTGCTTGCTTCGCTGCAAGGGCGAGCGCCTGGCAGGCGTAAGCCAAGGATACACCGAGGGAGAGCATGGCGTTGAGGAAACGAATTATGTATGTTGAAAGAAGACAGAGGATGAAAGAAGGAAAACACAGCATCTGAGACGGTGACAGAGTCCGCGAGGGAGTTGGAGAGAGAGAGGGGCAGGAGGAGACAAATCGAGCCTGGAACCTGCGCATGATTGCCGGAGCTATGAGTAACCAAGGGTCCCTTCCCTCCTGCAACGCCCATCAGACACATGCACACATGGCTGCACACTCATGACCTGCTTGTTTGTACTTGCGAACAGCATTGGTAGCTCCTCTGAACTTGAAAGCTCCAACTTTCTGTGACCATCTTCGTGAGCAAACTACATCTAAGGGAGAAGCAAGCCCGCCTGAAAGTTCTCACACTTGAAGAGGATCTGGAACCCTGCTATCCTGTCTATCGCCCCACACGTCATCACCTACTGTCTGGTCAGTCGCCTCTTGCTTTCATCTCTCGCGGAACAGCCAACAGGAGTCAGGTTGACTGCATCCTTGATGTTTTCGTAGGCCTCTTTGACGCTGTCCAGCGTTGCTGCATAGCTTCTGTAGCAACCAAACAAAAAAGTATCACTGATCGACATGACGAAATAAGATTGATCTCCTCTCCTTCCTTCTCAGAACCCCTCTGATTCTTCAATCGCCTTGACCCTAGTTACCTCCTGCCTCCTGCCACCTCCATCACTCTCCTCATGTCTCCTGTCGCTCATGTCCACTGTCTCACCATCCCACATTGCATCCTCCTCGCCTTGTCTCCCCCCCTCCTCCCCTTCCCTCATCGTCACAACATGACGAAGCTTACCTAGCGCCTTGTGATGCCATTGTGACGACAACCTTATTAGCTCAATCAATTACCATACAAAAACTTTTCCAGCTCATTCTTGATCCGATCGGGCTCGGACCCGGTCACCGGGTGATCGGACCAGTGACTCGGCCGTGGCGCCGCGCCGCAACTTACGAAGTTACTAGCTACAGTGCCGCACCGCGAGCACCATTGCTGCAAGACTGACCAGGTACTATCGCGTCCGCCGACTATGCTGATTTGGAAGTTCAACGGACCGTGACTCCTAGTGATTCCGGAGTACGGTCCGAAGCTCCGGATAACTCCCGGCCGGGGCCAGCCGCGCGGCCACCCCGGCCCTGCCATGCATGGGCTGGCATCCGATGAAGCCTAGGCTCGTCGCTCGGACCGTGTTGCCCGCCGGTGGCCGCGACCCGGACTCCCGTCGACTCAGCGGGGCCCTTACTAAGTTAGGCCCTGACCGTCGGACCATTCGGAAGTTCAATGGCAGTGCCATCATCATGTCGGATCGGATGATGACGGTCACTGAGTCACTGGCCGGGCCAGGCCTCTTCTCAGTTCGGAGCAGTGCGGCGGGGGCGGCCGCCGCCCGGCTCGGGTCCATGCAGTGTGAGAGGGTTATGAGCCTCCTGACTTCTTGGAAGGACGTGATCTCCAATCGAAGCTCAAAGATTGCATATAAACAACGATTCGTCTAAAATAATTCTTTTATGGTGATCTCGTGCTCCGAAATCTTCGTTGGTCCCCTACCCCCTTTTTCACCCTCTGCTCTTCCTCTGCCCTGGTCCCTTGGCTTGCAACTTCTTGTTCCCCAAGATCTCCCTCGTGTCACATCACTGGAGAAGCACGTTGTTCGCAGAGCGTTTCCATGTTGCGCCATGATGGAAGATGTTTCATGTGCACAGTTCCCCTTCGATGTTGTCTTGATGGTTGTGAATTACACAAAGTGGATCTCCTTGATTCTCTCTGCACAGTCTCAAGTTTGAAAGATTGTATTTTTGTGACTGATTACCAAGGATTGCATGCATTTCTGTTGTGACGAGTCATTTTGAAACTTTCATTCACAGGGTTTCGTGCGAGCCAAGGATACAGAGGGACTTGAAGGAAGCACGTTGAGATGTCGGTGGTGTCCGAAACATCCCAGAATCGGCCTGATTCCCCTCCAGTCGTTGTCAACGACAACAACACAGTAACTGTCCATCCCCGCAGAAAGTCGGGGTCCTATCGCGATTCACCTGTAGTGACCGTGACACTTGAGAGACTTTCCAAACTGTATGGTCATAGCGTTGAGGAGGCAGCGAGGCAGCTGGTATGTAATCCCTCCCATCTGTACACGATCCTTGTCATGACCTAACAGAGTCGCTGATGTATTGTATGTGCAGGGACTATCAGCGACGGCGTTGAGGAGGGTCTGTAGAAAGCTCGGCATCAACAAGTGGCCATATGAACGCAAGCAGGTGACCCCCAGCCAACTTGGAGAAGACGAGTTTGAGCTCGACGACGACGATAAGATTCAAGAGGACTTCGATTTCTGTGCATCGAGTGGGACGACGAGTTGCAGCCATGACGACCAGGAATACATCCAACGTGCTATATTGTTTCATATGAGCTCACAAAGAGTTTCCGGCCACAATGCAAAGAAGGGAAGCGAGAGCGTTGATGCGGAGGACCTTGCTGAAGGATCAGGGGAGGACAGCAGCTCGTCCGAGGAGCTGGCGTTAGACAAACACTTTATTGCAGAATTTATCAGAGGTGACGAAGGGAAGTGGGCCGAACAATCGTGAAGCAGTGTTGGGTTGAACTGCTCTGCCCTGATCGATGTTGTTACGAGAAGTCACGATCGTGCTGTCGTAAGAACTCAAAGTGGTATTCTACTCAATTCATGCGAATTGATTAGATGAATTCTTCAACTTGACGTGTTTGTTTGCCACCAGTTTGCAGCTTATTTATTTTGACTGTAACTGAGCTTGTCAGCGGCCTTTACCGTGCGGTCAAGCTGCTCAGTTTGCGAGCCTGAGTGCCGCAGTGCGCACGACGGTGCGGCTAGGCTACGGCACTGACTCATGTGAAAAAGCACGGCATGGTCCCGGCTAGCGGTTGATCAGCCGCACCGTCATGATGATATGAGTGATGAAGATGAAAATCATAGGTACTTTAGTAATGATTGAATAAACTCCGAGACACACTGTGACTCAGGCGCGGCTTCTTTCGAGTCGCCGGCGGCCGCGCTGGGCCGCCGGAAGTTCGAAGTTCCGGGCCCGGGCCCGCCGGCGGATGCCGGGCTGTACCGTCCGGAGTCCACTACTCGGTGCCGCCGGCGGCCCGGCGGCCGCCAGTCACAGGCTCCGAGTCTCTGAGGCGGTTGGCGGCGGGCGGCGTACTAACGCCGGGACGGTACCGTGCCGCAGTGCCGGAGTGCCGCGAGTCTGCACCACTGAGTCTGTGCCAGTGTGTGATCGGACGGTGCAAGTACGGTCTGTGCCTGTGCAGACTCCGATGCTCGTGGACACTCAGTGACAAGGCCGCGAGTCTACTAGGCTATCATCATGAGTCCGAGTCCGAGTGACTGGCACCATTCCATGGCATTTTCTAATGCTCGCTTTTGATCATTTTCGAGCGGGGTACCTCAGCCTAGCTAGTAGGATTTTTGAATGGTCGGCGCACTGAAAATTTGTACCAGAAACTTCGATAATGGTTGAAAGTATGTTTGAATCGGGGACCGTGTCGAGCAGTTTTAGGTTTACAAGTATTCTTGCTTCCTCCAAACAACAAGGTTTCAAACATTAAAACTATTTTTGACCTTACACGCTTTTACACGCCTGGGGGGTGCATATACAACCAAATCGCCTGCCCTACCCTTCCCCCATTGCTGCATCCGCACCCGCCGGCGCAGGCGGCGTTTGTTTGAATCCGAGATGGCTCTCAGCCAATGGCTCTTTCATCGTATTCAAGCTCCAGGCCATCCAAGGTTGGATCATGTGTGAATGTTTGTACTTTTTGCGACATACTGCAAGACGACGTTTCAAACAGCTCGAGCTTGTTTTTCAAAGGAAGCTGTAGGAATCAGCATCGCCATGGATTCCAGAGCCTAGGGCTGTTTTCGAATCCTTTTGATGCTCATTGCAAGATGGAGAATTGCTCGTTTTTGGTGATCAAGCATCCACAACCCTTTTTCGTATGATTGAGCTTCGAGCACATCTCTGACTGTAGAGTTGTTTGGTGTCAAGATTGTTTCTCGTAAAGGATCTCTCTGATTAGGCAATTGATTGTTGTTTTGGTTGGCATTCTACAAGACCCATACTTCCTCCTGTCTGTGTCAACCAAGCACATAAGCATAAGGCATGTCAGTCGTGTAGGCAACTTGATTGCAAATAGATCGCAAGTGTAAGATCGATGAACTATTCAACGCCATGAATGCCGGATGTGAATGGACTTCCCTCAGGACTTCTCAGTATCAGAACCAGCGAGCTAAGACATAAGGTAGAGTCTCCATTGAATATCATTCCTGCGAATGTAATGTTTTTATCAGTTGTGGGGAAGAGAAGCATGGAGACAAGCGGGTGCCCAAGCGAATAGGAACATCTTGCGGATGTAGGTTTGGACAAAGACGGCGATGATTCCGAGGTTGTGAAACAGGCAGCGAAAAGATGCTGAGGTTTTCGGAGTTCATAAACATGGCTTGTGACGAGCATGTCACACGTAAAGCGATGGAAAACAACAAACAAAAATTGTAAAGCAATCGAAAGCAACGAAAATCAATGGAAAACAACAAACAAAAATTCTTCTCAAAGGTCTCACTCCTTGACTTCAACCACTGATTGAACATCTTTTTGACCTCGGTCATATCTCGACAAATCCGATTGTACTCCGCCGCTGAACAGAAAGTTGTTTGCGCCATCTTTTCAACGAGTGGTGCCGGGTTTGCAATCGAGAAGTGAGAGATTTCACAGAATTTATTATTTTCGATGTCGTCTTCATGAAAAAATATATACCCATGCACTCTGAAATTATCGTGGAGATCATCGTTGGCATGCTCCAACATGCAAGGAAAGCTGAAGAAACACATTTTTGGTATAGCATTTATTTCATCCGTATCCTTGTAAATTGATTGATAACAATCACGGTTTCCAACTTTGTTCAAAATTCTTTTCAGGGCCACACAGTGCACTCAATTAGTTATAATGGTTTCGTCTACATGTTCCAAGAGGACTCCATTGTACATAATGTACACTTCGACAACCTGTGCATCTGAGTGCAGCGATTTGATCACGCCCAGTCGATTCACTTCAACGCCCCTGTGATCTTCACACTGATATTGAACCCCTGTGCCAGGCTCAAGTATGATATTCAAATTAAGCCTGGCTTTTTCCAGTACATCCTGGGCAAGTCTCGATCATCAACTGACGTATGCAGGATCATTCGAAGCTTCAAATCTTCAGGTGTCTTTGACTCATCACAAGTCTCTTCCTGCTCCAAGAATGTATCGAAATCTTCCTGCCTTCGCCTTCTCTGAATTCCATTTGTTGCTGATACACGACGGTGAAGATTCATTTGTTTGGTGTCTGTAACTGGAGCGCAAGGGAAAGGGAAGCAACGGGGAGGGAGGGGAGCAGGGGGGAGGGAGGGAGCAGGGAGGAAGTGAGGGGAGCAGGGGGGGAGGGAGGGAGGGAGAAGAGCATGGATGGAGGAGGGGAGGGATACTTGCAATGGGATCTCAGGATTTTTAATGAAAATTATTTGCTCTTTGATCGGGGGCAAGGGGACCTGTGTTTCGGTGGCACCCTATAGACATAGGGTAGGTATCCATATAAAACAACCGGTGTAGAAAAAAAAGATTGCCGTTGCTAGCTGGCATACGACTCCTTGATTTGAAAACAAAAATACTTATTGGCTGGATTTACTACACTCGTCAATGGCTGACACTAATAAGATTTCATGAGCGTGTATCGAAATACTAGTGATACGAATAACCCTACCCCCTCCATATCAGATAAACATACCGGTACACAGGGTAGAGAGCAGCTAAGAGGCGTGTAAGCCGGAACTCAAATGCTTAAAACGAATATAAAAGAGTACTGAGTGGTACAAATCATTCTGGTACAAAATTGACTAAAACCTGTGCTCTTATGATCAAATTAACAGGTACAAGTGTTTGTTAAAAGGATATTAATTTATAATTGGGCATTAGTAAATGCCATGGAATGGGCGCGGCTGGCCCGGCCGGGCCGGGCACCGGGCATCATATGCGATCACTGCCGATCCATCATGCGCGCCGTCCCCGGCCCGGTCCGGCAAGTTCAACGGGGAACTTAGGACATCCGAGATGCCAGTGCTGCCGCAAGTATCTTCTTGCCAAGTTGTTTCCTTTTGCATGGAACTTGAACTCAACAAACAGCAAAGGCCTCTCCAACAGTGGCACCCGATCTGTTGTCTAGCCAAAAGTCTAGCCAAAAGATCTAGCCAGGGAATATCCTGGCTATATCTAGACATCCCAACATAGATGTAGATGTTGGGATGCAATCCGACTCAACGAGCAGCACTCACCGCCGGTTTGAAAATGGCGGGGTAATTTGTGTTCAAACAATTACCCGGCTTGAGTGACTCATATTTTGGGGATTTATTCGACACAGCACATCTTTGGCCTTGGAACATCAAAGTCACTGAAGCGATTCTGATCCTCTACATGTTCCAGCGCTTCTTCCATCCAAGCGTCTGCTCCCAACCAAGCCTTTGAAGTTCTTTGCTTGATTCCGCCGTACTGGCGCTGGTAAGGCCAACGGTACACTCCAATCTTTCTACACACATTCTTCAATGTAGACAAGGATATTCCCTGAGGTTAGTGAGTTAAAAATCAATGTTTGTAGAGAGGAAAATGAAGAGCTTACAAGAGCAACAGCTGCGTCCGGTTGTGGCATGTCGAAGAATTTCTCGACATCCTCTCTAGAAATTTTCAGTTCTTCTCGCATGTTCAAGGAGGATTCTATGCTGCTATCTCCTTGTTTCCTTTTGCGTGGAACTAAACGAACAGCAAAGGGCTCTCCAACAGTGATCTTTCGACTAGGTGTTGGGATGACAGAGCCACTCGCATTTGGAAATGGTGTGGTAACTTGTGTTGAGGGTTCATGGTTATCCGTAGTTTTGCGATGTTCTGGCAATAAAATGTTGTCAAACATCGACATGACTTGAACACAAAATACTCACCAGTGACATATTTCCTAATTTGAAGATCCAAGGATGGGTTGAACATGGGCTGACCGATGGCCTTGATCGGAGTAACCATGGGACCAGTTGTCATGCTGATTGCAGGATTCACAGCTGCAATAGAAAATTGCATGTTCCGCAGGAAAGACGAATCGGTTTTTGAGCTATCTCTTGTCCAGTCAAGTCCTTTTGATTACAACCACCCTAGTGAATGAGTTGGGGACTATTGATATACCGATGGAGATGTAGTGGATAGCTGAGAGAAAGGGTTGCAACCAAATTTGTGACAGGCTATTGTGTTTTTGATGGAGAGCAATGTGGATTGTGGTTTTGACACGAGCAAACAGGCGATCTGTTTGCACGACAACGAAGGTGCGGAGCCAGCGCGTGGATGCCGTACATCTGCCTTTTTAAAACCCTGCTAGTACACCATTTATAAGTAGTATTTTAATTCGACCTCCACAATAGCGAATCGTTGTCTTTGAACCTGATACACCCTCTTAGAAAACTTTGAACACCCCTTCCAACTCATTATTGATTGACCCGTCCATATTGACTACCATGGTTCACGGATCTATACCCGTCTATATACATGTAAATTTATTTTGTTTTATACAGTTTAGTATGAGTGGATCTTCGTTGAGTATGTGCATCTACCGGTACCATCTCCTTCGGACCCAAGGGTCCAAGCTGCTTACACAGGGACAAAATTAAAAAAGATTTATTCTAAACGAAGCCAAGAAGGTAAATCTATTTTTAAAAGATATGAACAAAAGAGTTTTCCCCTGTCTGTGTCAAACCTGTTACGTAGGTCTCGAAAGCAAGCATGGACCCTTCATGAACTGAACCCCACTTTTCCACCTCAAAACTACCCTTCCCTCTTGGCAGTCTCCCCAAGTGCGGAGTCTGCCTCCTTGCTGACTATCTCCTCCCTCCACTTTAACCCCTACTGCCAAGGGATGCTAAAGCTTAAAACAACCAGGTGGTGTCCATGGGCTAGAACCGCGTGACTGTTCATGGGCAAATCGATCTATCTATGCGTTACAGACGGTTACAAAAACAAGCTCGCCTCATACTCTGAAACTACTGCGAAGAAAGAGATCATGTTCCATCGATTTGATAAATAGCTGTTCTATTTCATTGTGACTTGGAATCTATTGATGTATATATTTCAATGAACACAATAAATCTAGCAGCTTGAGGCAGACATCTCTTCTGGAAGGGAGGATCTGCGCTGATATTTGCCACAACGGCGTGATAAATTTCCTTCTACGTGCATCAAGGCCTCTTCGAACAATGAGAAATCCATAACTTCTGAGTCACTGCTCGATGAAATCAGAGTATACTGACGCTTGTATGGCCATCGCGAAAGACCGACTCTTCTACACACTGACTTCAGTGCGGACAATGAGATGCCCTTGCAATAAAACACGTTAAGAAAACCCACATTTGGCCACATGAATATTACCAGCTTGTGTGCTGCTTCAGCCTGTGGTAGATGGATATACATGTTGAGCGTATCCTTGTCAACAACAAGCTCGCGGACGTTAGGGGAGGTACAACCCTTTTTCTTCCGAGGGAAAAGCCTGACTGTTTGATTTGTTGGTGATTGTTCAGGACTCACATCAGCTGAACTCTCTTGCAATTGCTGTCTATGCTGTCCAAAGAACAATCCAGTTTCTTCTGTTGATCGTTAGCAGTCAGCAAAGATAATGTACGAAGATTGATTGTACACGCCTGTAGAAAACGAGGGAAGATGCTCCATATGTACTGCTCAAAATCAGTTGCTTGTTGTTGCTGAATGAATCGGCTTGTTGGGGTGATAAAAGCTGAAATGAGCGCTAGAGCGGAGGTGGAGTTTGGCGCAAGGGAAGTACGTACTCAAATACTAGTATACTGCGGCAAGTGAAATGACTGAAGGGGAATGATGACACCAAAAACTTCAGTTTTAGAGAGTTTGATGACTCTAAAACCTTATATCCAATAAAAAATTATTGTAAATAGCGCATTGAAACTGAAAACAATCATATTGCCGACTCGTAGATGCAAGTCACGGTTTGAAGGGTCCAATCTGACCACCCTGGATCATGACCAAATCGGAGACATGCTAAATGGTATCATGACCGCACGTCATCTTCATACGGTGATGTCGCCTAATCGAATACTAAAAGATGTGGCAAAGAGGTCACCCCTGTCAGCATGTAGTCAGCACATCATGCCAGTGCCCGCTCCGGCCGGCGGCCGGCGTGGCCGACCATGCCAGACCGTGCCAGCTGCGGCAGTGGCAGGCGCCGGCGCGGGTCCAGTTCCGGGCCACCGTCTCCGCACTGGCTCGGCTGAGGGCCGGGGCCACCCGGCGGCGGCGGCGGCGGCGGCGACGACGGTCGACCGGACCGGGGGCCACTGCCGTGACGTTGCGGGCGCCGGCCGCCAAGTTGGCCGGCGGTAAAACCGACGGTTCGCCGGTCCCGGCCCGGCCCCCCGGTGACCGCCGTCTGAAGCAAAGTACGGTCAGTGCCACGGAGTATTCCGAGACGATTGAGAAGTAAGGCCTTCGGCGGACTCGGGCCGCTGATACCCTACGTTCGGCGTGCGTCAATCACTGACCGTAACGTACCGTACATTATTGAGGCCCGGCCGGGCTCGCAAGCGGTGAGTACCGTGACTCCCACCGTACGGTACCGTGACAATCTCACAATCATGTAATACTATCATATCGTTTACTCAAAGCTAAGTTAAAAATCAGTACGAGGACAATCAGGAGAGTCGAGGTGACCCTGACTACAGTAGTCCTTTACTTTTACAGTAACTGTCGCACTGGCCAAACGGCGAGAAGAGAAAAGACAGCGAGTGGCAGTAGTTGCCTCAGGCAGGCCTGGCCGCCGAGTGAAGTCGAGTGCCTCACGGTTACCACCCCATGGATTGACCACCATGTTTTTTATGGAGAAAGAAGGGGTACGGGGGACGGGGGTTTGATCCGTGAGCCACCTATTTTTTCTTTGTCAGCTGTGCCCCTGACATTCAAAGGTTGCGGTTTTTGGACGCCTTGAAACACCCAATGAAGTCTGTCAGCAAGCTTTTGGCCATGCTCTCTCGTGACCGTCACATAAACACACCGTTTCACGTGAGAGTTGCAACAGGACCCGTTAATAAAAGTGGAAAAGGTACGGGTGCTAGTCGCTCTGTGGTAATGTTGCCTTGTGATTTCCTGTGTGATCAGCGACTCCTTGGCGGCCTCGACCGGCCCCTTCCCTCTCTAGCTTGGTTATTTGTGTTGCTAGTCGAAACATCGGTCCATCCTCCGTCCACACCACCGTTGCTTCTGCCTCCTCTTCGCCCAGCCTATCGCTCTCTTCAAGCTCCTTGCCCCTCCCCCTTCCAACCTTGTGTAGAGATTGATCAGCATGGCCGGAGCCCTCGCAGTACTCACAGCCAACAGCCTGGAAGCCAACGGGGCCTACTGGGTCAGCGGTGACCGTTTGAGCGACTTGATGGACTTGATGTACAATAACAAGCACGTTTCACCGGTTGAGTACCGTGCGGCTCCTTCTACCCATCAGCATCGGGAAGATCGACCAGGGCCGCCCGAACGCCACCTAGACTCTAAGGGAGCCAAGGGTGCCGTGAGGCTTTGTCCAAGGAGGAAGAAGTCCAGGACCTTGTCTCCTAGGGAAATCATCATTGATGCGAACTACTTGTCTACTTTCTTTCACCTACCACAGCCTGAAGCTGCTGTCAAGATGGTAAGATGATCACTTGCTGCTGGGTGCGCTTGCTGACATGGGCCATAGGGGATTTCTTTGTCTGCCCTCAAGTCAGTGTGCAGGAGGGTAGGTGTTCCGCGATGGCCGTACAAGCGCCAGTACACGACCAACGACTCTCCCTGTGAGGAGGAGGAGGAGGAGGAGAGGGAGGAGATGGAGATTCATGATGCGTGGGAGGAGGAGATGATTGATGAGTTCGAACTCTTCGAGGAAGCCTTGCGGCATGTAGAGGGAAGAGCCTTTAAGAGGAGACGAAGTTGAGCCTGACGGGCCTTCTGGACCCCTTCATCTCTCCCTCTCCTTCTCTCCCTCTCCTTCTCTTTCCATCTCTTCAACAATCAAGATGTAAGTGTAAAAATAAAGATGCTCTGTTTTCACGATGGATCGTACAGTTTGTTTACCCGAATTTCCACCCGACGGATGAGAAGGTCGGTTATGGGGGGCAGCGAGTACATGTTGCTTGCTACAGGCAGTCTGATATCATTTCTTGGCCTCGTGCTGACATGCTTGCTGCTGATGATGCTCCGATGCTCATGCGGATCGATCTGTGTCAGCGGGTCAGAAAAGAAGAGACTGATGAGGAGGAAGACCTTCTCTTGGGGTGAAGGACGCTTTCAAACTGTCAAAGAACCTGTCAGGGCAGGGAGGAGGAGAAGGAGGAGGAGATGGAGATGCAGGAGGAGATGGAGATCGTTGCGATAGGCAAAAGAGGCAAGCATAAACCAACATGCAGAAACACAATCTTTCATGGAGGATGTTGTTTGCAAATGACAGTAGAGCAAAGAGTAAATCTCATTACACATTTCACCTGCTCCAGAAACAACTGCGGCGTCTGTATCTCACCCTCACAAGTTTCGATCGCCTTGGCAAGTCTCCTCGTCAAGGAAGAGCAGGGAGATCATGTACACAAACCTTTTCAATCGCCAACGTAAACGATGCCTCGAGGCACTGGACAGAAGATTTCATGTCATAGTTCCTTCTCGCTCGCTTCAAGTATCGGCTCATGTCCTTGCAGACAAAGTGAGCTGAACAATAATCTCCTTCTCAAAAGACTCACGGAATCCTCCTGGCTGCCCGCTGGTGTATTCCCCTTCTCGCTTCTGACGACATCTATCTGTTGTTTCGGCTGATTTTCTGGCTTGGTCTCTGCAGCAGCAACATGTTTTACAGCTACCCAATCTGAGGGAACAACATCAAAATGCTCTCAGGCACAGGGAGATTGTTGCTACCATGATGAAGGGTTCGCTTGTCCATCACTGCAATGCTCTGCTCTTTTTGGTTTTGATGTTTTTGAAGCGGTTGAGATTGATGGCGATGATGCCGATGGGAAGAGGTTTTGTTTGCTGATCTGTAAGAAGAGCATGGTTATCATCCCGCAAACAAGCAAGGCAAAAGCAAAGGCAAGCGCAAGTGCAAGCGCCGGTTGAAAGCGCAAGCGCAAGTGATAGCGAGAGCGAGCGACATACTTTTTCTGAAGGAAAGCAAGCATTTTTCTCCTTGCTTCCTCGCCGTCATCGATAACCTTTCAAGCAAATGTTGTGAGGGAAGCAAAGTCGCACATTGAGATCTCAACTCACTTCGACCTCATCCTCGTCTTCTGAGCAAATGTTTTCTCTGCAACAAGTATGAGAATTTCTCCCGTCATTTATCAAACATCACTCTCTCCTTCTATACCCCAACACATCACTCTCTCCTTCTATACCTCAACACATCTTCTCTTCTTCCCCATCCTCTCTCATTTCATATCTCTCTCTCTCATCGCATCACATCTCACCTCGGTGTCCTCTTCTTGATATCCGCGATCATCCTTGACATCTGACCGTAGTAGTGATCGCATGTGAGGCCCTTTGCGAGAGTCTTCTTGAAAACCTGACGCAAGATCAGACGACGAGCAACTACAATATGGCGGAAGGTTGAAGATAAGCTGAAGGAGCAGCAGCATCGAGAGGGGAACGAGGAGCAGGAACCGGCGAGCGAGCAATAGAAGCAGCAGGGGGGGGGCACGAGTGCCAGGAGTATCAGCATGAACAGAAGGGGCTGGGCCAGCAAAAGTAGAGAGCGACGGCAGCGGCGGCGGCGGCGGCGGCGGCGGCAACAGCAACAGCAGCAGTGGGAGCAGCAGCAGCAGCAGCAGCGGGAGCAGTAAGAAGAAGAGCAGGAGGAGTAGAGAACAAGCATGCACACAGAGACATCACGTCTCTCTCCCTCTCTTTCGCTCTCTCTATCGCGGCTCTCGTGCCATTCTTGGCAGGCTGAAAGATTCGCAAGTACTGGTCGAGAAGCAGGTGGAGCCGCCGCTGCCGGTCCTCTCGTGTGAGGCCCTGGACCATGTAGCCCAGCTCAGCCTGCAAGAAGATCAGGGAGAAGCAGCTGCAGGAGGAGGAGGAGGAGGAGCGAGGAGCCGCAGCAGCAGCGACAGCTGCTGCTGCTGCTGCTGCTGCTGCTGCTGCTGCATGACCAAGTTTCACCTCAATCTTTGGGATCCTGGAGCCATCGAGTTTCTTGAGATACTCGAGTTTCTGCATGTAAGCCGGAACTTTCTTGTCAGAACTCTCGCTCTTGCTGCTGCTGCTTGTCTTCGTTTGCTGCTTCTTATTCTGCTCCACCCTCTCCTCACTGCCATTGCCCCGCATTTTCTGCTTGTGACTTTTCTTCGCGTCTTCGCTCTTCACGCACACAAGCACAACTTCGTTTGACTGCGGCGGTTCCTTTTTCTTCGCCTCTCCTGCCGATACTTGAGGTTTGTTTGACACTCTCTCGATCACGTAACTCTGTTTCTCCTTCTCCTTCTCCTTCTCCTTCTCCTTCTCCTTCTCATCCGTCAAAGCTTGTAGCTCCTGCGAATCACCAACGGCTGTCCCGGCACTTTGCAAGTTGCTCAAAAGTTGCCGTGCACTCCCTCGCACAACCTAAAGGAAAGCATGAGGCGGGTAAATAAAATCAGTAGAATTTTCACCACTGGCGCGATCGAGTTGTTGGACTGATCGTAGAAGTAAGCACAGCTAAGGACAACACGTGTTAGGACACGCACGCACGCGCACGCACACAGCAAGACAGACAGACAGACAGACAGACAGACAGACAGACAGACAGACAGACAGACAGACAGACAGACAGACAGACAGACAGACAGACAGACAGACAGACAGACAGACAGACAGACAGACAGACAGACAGACAGACAGACAAACAAATGGTCTTGAGAATGTGACAAGTTAGAATAGAATCTTTGCAGCAGGTTTCGGCATAGCGCCGTCTTTAGTTTTCATGTCCTCAAATTTTCCTTTTTCGCACGCGCTCTCACCAAAAGTTTACAGCATCCACGTTGCATCTCCTTTCCCCCTTAGACCAGCTCAGCTTGTCGTGCAACCAGCTATCAAACCTACGGGCACAACCTCAGCAGCTTCCCCATCGTCATCCTCCTCCTCCTCCTCCTCCTCCTCCTCCTCCTCTTGCTCCTCCTCCTCCTCCTGCTGCTCCTCTTGCTCCTCTTGCTCACCTTCCACGGTACCATGAGCTCCGGTCGCTCACCTCGTGACCTCTGATGTAGCTGAGACAGCACTGAAAACAATATCCGTCAACATGGCAAACAACAACATCAGCATCCTGGTTCTCTCAATCGTTCATCTCCCTCTTATCCATCTCTCCTCCTCCTCCTCCTCCTCCTCCTTCTTTCTCCTATTCCTCCTCCTCTTGACCATGCTCTCCTGACTCTTCCTTCCCGCCCTCCTCCCCATCCTCAACCACCTTCTCCTCCCGTTTGTCCTCCTCCTTCTCCCCCCTCCCCCTCCTCCCCCTCCTCCCCCTCCTCCTCCTCCTCCTCCTCCTCCTCCTGACCTTTACGCTGTCGATGGCTGTAAGTGGAATGATTTCATAGTAGCTAGAGTCAAGCACTTCACCTTTACACCTCAACAGCCTGCACATTGCTCTTCAGTCACTTACGCATTTGTTCTCCTCTACCTCCTCCGCATCCTCTGCCTCATCCGCATCCTCCGCATCCTCCGCCTCCTCCGCCTCCTACTTCGACTTATTCTCCTTCTCCTCTTTCAACCATGTTTCTCCTCTCAACCTCTTCTGCTTGTCCTCTTTATCTCTTACCTCATCCTCGCGTTGTCGGGCAGGGGAGCAAGAATCTCGATTTCTGATGGCCGTAAAAACCATCGGACGAGGCAAAACTTGCAGCAAGTGTGAGGAGCTTTGTTGGTTGCAACGATGCCAATCATCGTTATGAGTATCATCAACATAACCAACATCATCAACTCCACAAACAACATCAACAACATTATCATCAACATCAACAACATTATCATCAACATCATCATCATCACCATCAACATCATCATCATCATCATCATCATCATCATCATCATCATCATCAACAACAACAACAACAACAACAACAATAACAACAACAACAACAACAACAACAACAACAACAACAATAACAACAACAATAACAACAGAAGCAGCATCAGCAGCAGCAGCAGCAGCAGCAGCAGCAGCAGCAGCAACACACAATACTCTCGATCATCATCATATCTTTTTATCTCACATGCTTGAAGCTCGGCTTTCTGACTTCTGCAGCTTCGACCTCCCACCCTGCCGGCAAATCAAGAGTCCTAACGTGAGACTCCAGCTGCTCTCGTTATCACCAACATCCCCATCATCGAACTTGATGTCATACTGCAAGAAGGGAAACACAGTCGTCAAGGAAGGAACGAGCCCATGCCTGCTCACCGTCCCGTTGTCGTTGATTCCGATGATGCTGCCGGGGAAGTAGCGAGCGACAGACTCGATGACACTGACGAGGGAGATGAGACAAGGAAACGAAAGCAACGACAAGAAAGTAGAAACATGGCAAAGACAAGCTTGACACGGGTGATAACGGCCGCCCGTCATGTATGACCCTCATCAGCACCACCAACATCTGCAGGTAGCAGCAGCAGCAGCACCACTAGCACCACTAGTAACACCAGCAGCACTAGCAGCACTAGCACCACAAATAACACCAATAGCAGCAGCAGCACTGGTACCACCACTAGCAGCACCAGCAGCAGCACTACCATCACCACCATCACCACCAGCACCACCACCACCACCACCACCAGCTACGAGCACTAGGAAGGTTTCCCTCTTATCCTCACCCCTGCTGCATGATCCTGCCTTGCCATTTTGCCTCCACTCTTGCCCCGACCTCCAACCTTCCATCAACATCACACAAGGAGAATGCTAGTGTGCGGTGCTACTGCTGGCTGATGGATGAGTCCTGTTGCCGCGCAAGGTCGACGATCAGCTCGACGCTGGCAACGTAGGGCTTGTTGATCCGGTCCCCAGTCTTCACCATGACTACATCTCCGACCTGAAACACTCGGACTGTCACGTTGGAGTCTCAAAGGGAAGTGCTATCGTACATGAACAATCCCTTCCCCGTAGAGGTATGCAGCGTCGTAAAAGTCTGCCTCCTCTACATCGTTGATCTCAACCTCGCAATCAGACCCGGCAAGGTTGTCGCACACCCACCACCTTCCTCCTCAGGTACTTCTTGTGCCTGTTCCATGCTAGACTCCTCGCTTGCTTCTCAAGACAACGACCGAGACAAAGAACATCCTGTTGTGAAATGAGGAGTTTCCTCTCGTCTCTTCTCCTCTGAAATGTTGAAAAACCTGCTCATCACTGCTTGCAGCTATCATGAAGTTTTCCTCTGGCAAGACGTCACATGCTGAACATCTCGTACATGACAAACCTTGGATGACCTGCTGCTTGCTAACCGAGACCTGACTGACTGAGAATGTCTCGCCTAGTTTGTTGGAGCAGTGTTACAACTGGATGGAAACAGAAAGACAGAGACAGAGAAAGAGAAAGAGACAGGGACAGAGACAGCGACAGCGACAGCGACAGCGTCTGCGGCAGAGGCAGAGGCAGAGGCAGAGGCAGAGGCAGAGGCAGAGGCAGAGGCAGTCAGAGCAGATAAGGATGAAAAAGACGTTGCTCATCACAGGGATGGTCTCAATCGGAGGAGAGCCACTAGAGTCAGGTCGCCAAATATCACTGCGCCATCTCCTCACATGATACGCCGACGTTGTCAGCAGCAACCAGAACGACCCGATCGCCCTTGGCGCGTGTAAGGAGCGAGCATGCAAAAAGAACATCTTGCAGTTCCTTTACCTCCTCCTTCATCTCTGCCTCCACCCATCGCCCCGACTCTGAGCGGATGGCAGAGAACCTGCAGAAGAGGAGGTCTTCCCTCCTCCTCTCGGGGATGAAGTTCGCCAGTCGGTTCTCGAATGCATTCTCCAGTCTCCTCGTCTCAGCCGATTTCTTCATGGCAGGGGAGGCTTTTTTGCTACCTCAGAACCGCCCCCTGCAACCACTCCCCTCCTTCCCACTATTCCTATCACTCTTCTCCATTCTCCGACCTCTCCCTCTCCCTGTCATCCCTCTCCTCCTCCCTCTTCCTCTCTACAACTGTCTCCTTCCCTCTTTCCTGCACTCCTTCACTTTCTATCCTCCTGACATCTCCTATCTCGTTTGACCCTGCCCGACTGCTCGCTCTCCTTAGGGAACGACCACCGGTGCTGATTACTACCCTACCCGGTTCATAAAGCGAGTTTACTATTTTGAGGGCGGGTACTGCATCCGATGCAAACATACGGTACCCCCCTTAATCACCAGAGCACTCGAAATTTGTCGGGTACAGCAGGAGCAGTAGCAGGAGCAGGAGCAGGAGCAGGAGCAGTAGCAGTAGCAGGAGCAGTAGCAGGAGCAGGAGCAGGAGCAGGAGCAGTAGCAGTAGCAGTAGCAGGAGCAGGAGCAGGAGCAAGGCATGAAACCGAGCAGGAGCAGAACGAGCAAGACGCAATTAGATGCCTCTGTTTGCTCAAGGTTGAACAACAGTTCAAAGTCATGTCAACCTTCTATGTCGACGGCTGCTCCGAGGCTTTATCAACCAAGGAGGCCGAGCATGCAAGACAGGATGCGAAACGGTTTACTGACAACAATCACTGAGAGTAATTTGGTGTATCTTACAATCATCTGTCAAGGAAGTTCTGTACCTGAGAAAAGCTTGTCAGCCTTGCAAGCTTCGTCGCTCGCCCTCACATTCTGCAAGGTCGTCTCCGGATCCTCCGAGTGTACCCAATGCCCAGCATTCCGAATCGTCTGTGATATCCATGTTATCCCCTCCTCCACCCGTCCACCCCTGCTCTCTACCCCACCTCCTCTCCCGTCCACCCCTGCTCTCTATCCCACCTCCTCTCCTGCTTTTCCTGTCCACTACCACCTCCTCCCCTGCTCCCCCAGCACTCTATCCCACTGTTCCCCTCCCCTGACACCCTCCCTCCCTCGCTCATCCCTTCCCTCTGCTCGGCACCCCCTCTACCTCCATTCACCACCTGCAGGGTGAAGTTTGGGAACAGCCGCATGATCTCTTCGAGATGCCTTGACCTGTGGCAGCACGTTGGTAGAGAACAAGGACGAGGCAGAGCCAAAGGGGGAAGAGGAGGAGACGATGCGAGGGGAAAAGAAAGAGAGAAGGAGAGGAGGACAGGAGGACAGGAGAGAGGTGAGGTGAGGAGAGGAGGAGGAGAGCAGGAGAGCAGGAGAGCAGGAGAGACGAGGACGAGAGGACGAGAGGACGAGAGGAGGAGAGACGAGGACGAGAGGACGAGAGGAGAAGAGGAAGGGGTTATTGAGCCACCTGATAAAAGGAGACTTCCCTCCTTGCACAAAGAACGCATCACCAGGAAACGAGAGACCTAGGACGGATGCGGGTTGCTGCAGCCCCTGGGAAAGATGGATGTGAGAGTGCGAAGTGATGTAGAGGAGGAGGCAGGAGAGGAGGAAATCAGGATGAGATTGGAGAGGAGGGGGGGGGGAGGGGGGGAAGGGGAAGAAGAGGATAAGAAATTGAGGATACTGACCTGGCCAAGATCGAACCCCCCAATAATGCCCATATTCCTTTTGATGTTTTGAATCCCGATACGCCACTTCCATGCTGAAGGAACCAACCAAGTCAAGAACTTCGTCCGGCCTCCTCCGCTCCCATCCTCCAATTCGCTTCTTCTTTGCTTCTCACCTCCTCCTGCTCTAACCTTCTCTCCTCCTCTCCTCCTCTCCTTCTCTCCTTCACCCTATTCTCATGTCACAACTTGCTGACACACCTTGGTCCTCCTTGACGAGGTTTGTAAGAGCGAAGGCCCTCAACAACTGCAAGCATGTGGGCACACGATCGACGCACAAGACAAAGGAAACACTCACGGGGTCCTGGATGGAAGCTGCCAGCAGCTCGTCTGCGTGCCTCTTGTCCTTGACTGAGAGGTTGTACAGTCAAACTTTGACCGTCAACGGCGGTAAGAGGCTAGAAACGGATATGCACTTCCGACCAAGGAGTGGGAGGAGGGGTGCAAAACGAGGAAGTGTTGGAGGGGGAGGACAAGAGCGGCGCGGGGGCGCGAGGGGGGGGGGGGAGCAGGGAAGGGGAGGGGTGGTGGTAGGGGGTCACCTTCTTCAAGAGGGAGCCCGTACAGGGAGTTGATGGTAACGGCGATGTCCCTCCAAGTTTCACTCCCCTTCACATGGGGACGTAAGAGTTGAGCAAGGAAGAAACAGGTGTGAAGCGAGTGCAATACAGAGACATCCGATAACAAAGTTACAGCAGACAGCAGACAGCAGACATCGTAGCGTGGAGAGTGGAAGGGTGGAGGAGGAACAGAAGAGAGAATGTGGAGTGGGAGGGGCAGTTGACGGGAGGGGCGGGGGTTCACCTTTCCTAGAGCCTTTGAGTAATCTGCAGGAGCAATGTCGAGGATGGCAACAGATTCAACCCTGGAACCCTCCGTAAGATCCTCCTCCTCTTCTCTCTCAGTCGCCGTACAAACCTGGTAGGGTGCAGCAGAGCAAGAGTAGCAGCAACCTAATCGACCACAGTGAGCTGTGGGGGCAGACGTCGCTCCAAGGAACCTTTCCTCCCATGGAGTGGCCGATGACGCAACACCTCTCTATCCCCATTCGATCAAGCAGGCTGATCACATCTTGGGCCATGCTGACGTACCCCATGCTCCTGCTCAGCCAACTTCAGGCACACCGGACTATCCATGTAGTGCTCACCGTGTGTGAGGACTCTCGCCATGGTTCCGCAAGTCCGGGATGATGATTCGCCGTGGCTTCGCCAGCCTCTCTGAAAGAGTGTTGGCCCATCCCAAGAAGTTCCTTCACCGGCAAAGGTCATCAACAAGTCCTCGAGCCCTTGCCCCGCAGCACCTAGAAGAGCCGAGCAGGCCATGGAGAATGAGAACAGGGCAGGCAGCCTCTGGGGACTTGGATGCTGGGTAGAGAAGCGTCAGTGGAGCTGAGCAGGATCGGAGACTTAGAGCGCTGACGTATGTCGATGTAGGTGAGATCGACGTATCCTTTCTCTGCTGCGAGGTGGAGGCCTTTGACTCGTTTGATCCGCCAGTAGCTCTTACTGGCCATCACCATGGAGTTAGAACCAACTTCACCTCCACATGAGAGGTAAGAACCTGTCGGTCTGCTGCTGCTCGGCCACGTTACTCAACACTTGGCTGTCGGTCCTAGATGCGACCATTGACAGGTTGATGGGAGAATTGCGGGTCGCTGTGAGGATGTTGTGAGAGGATCTTCTGTAAGAGGGTCGAAAGGACGAGAGGGAATTCTGTGCATGAAGCGCTGCTGGAGATGTACTCGGGCTCAAAGTGTAGCCCAACGAGCTGGGCCAACTTGCCAGGAAAGTGACAACTAGCAACACAGCGCCGTATTCGTATGTTTGCCTGTGAACCGGCGAAGACATCCTTGGAGGTGCGGTAAGAGTTAGAATCAAGCTTTCTCACTCACAAACTTGACCGACTGTAAAATCCCACATGTCAAACCAGCAGCATCCCAACGATAGCCCGACACTTACCAGCGTACCCTTCGAGCGATCCAGAATCCTTCTTGGCCGCACTTGACCTTCACTCTGGTTTGGAGCGGAGCAGGGAGTACCAGTTGGTCTTGAGGATCACTCTATCAGTCGGTTCGTCTCATCCTCAAGCTCTTTCCTCGCCATCCCGCGACGCCTTCGCCGACTCCATCGCTCGATCTCCCGCCATGTCCTTCCGCGGCCGCGGGTGGTCTTGCAGCAGGGGTCCACCCCTACCTTTCGAATTTCAAGATTCTGTACCCCTGGACTTTTCACCCCTACCCCCCCGAAATAAAGCTTTCTGGAACAAGTTTAGCTATAACAATACCCTACCCCATCGAGACAGTTTAACACCCCCTCCCCCCCCACCTGGATCTACCCCTTGCTAAACCCCTGGGCTGAAAAGTACCCAGAGCCCCACCCCTACCACTCCCAAAGATAGACTGAACAAGGGGTGGTGACACAGGATCCTCGCAAGATGTGTAAACTGAGATGGTGGGCAAGGTCGGTAGCGGGATGGTAGGATGGTACCGCAGAAGAGAAGGATTGGGAATGAGAGGAGATGGGAACTTTGACAACAGAAAGATAGGATAGTCTGAGGATAGTTGGCTGACGAGAATGTAGCGCGCGAAAAGACAAGTTTCAATGTTGATATGTCCGAGGTAGTCTGAGATGCGCAGGGTAGGCAATGAACGTAGAAGAAAGATGTTGAAAACATTCAGAGGTTTCAGAACTTTTCGTTTTATTCATCTGGAACAGATGAGGGCACGAGATCACGTTATGTAATGAGCATGTCGTACCCGATCACCAGTTAGTGCCGACAATCGTTGACTACAGGCTTCTCCGCATTACTGATGAAATCGAAGAACTGGACAAACTTTGTGTGTTCCGTTCGTACCGATCGAGATGACTGTAAGCATGCAAATTATGTATGTATGAAGACGAGAAAGCAAGCAAAATATGTGTGAGTAAACATCATGAACTCGCGCATGATTTGACCTCTTGGCCCTTACTTGAGACTCTCTACCTTCTCTCAGCCTCATGGTGTCGTCGTCCCCCACCGCCGATCGACAGAGACAGGCATGATCTTGAAGTGCCCTGAGACGCAGCCGAGCTCGGCGATCAATCGGCTGACGCCGGACGAGAACTTCCCGATGAAAACATCCGAGTCGACGAGTCTGGATATCACATGGAAGATATCCACAATCTCCTCGTGCCCATGAGCCCTGGAGTGAGTTCCCCTCCTCCGCATCCTCCCTTCCTCCCTGAAGACTCTGATCTTGACAGCTGATTTGGCATTGTGAGCTGCAATGTACCGGATGACCTCTGTCTCTGTCTCAGGGGTGTCAGTAGCCAGGAAGAGAGAGATCTCTCGCAGAGACTCGTTGTCCTGCCGCTCCATCCCTAGTGAGACGTCGAGGGATCGGAGCATGGCTGCTGCGACGCTGGCCTGGCTGGTGTAGGAGCTTGTGGGGATAGGGTCTGCCTCCGCCGTGTTGTCGTGCCTGACGTGCATACTGATCCGGAACCGAGGGCCAGGAGACGGGCGCATGTGGGGCTTGGGCCGAAAGAGGAAGCTAACAAGCTGCGCCCTCCACCAGAAGAGCCCCCTCCATGCAAACCGCCGAGGGACCGTCTTGTAGTACAGGGTCAACTTGTGCTGCTCGATAGTCGTCTGGTTTACTCGCATGACGCGGTGGGGGTACGTCACCAGGGAGTCGTTCATGTAGCAGCACCTTCCCAGCAGGACCTCCGGGCTCTCCTCCCCGGCGTCCTCCTCCTTGCACCACGTGTTGAGCTCTTGCATGTGGCATGTGACAGTCCTGTTGCCGCACACCAGGGGGTCAGCGTAGCCCCAGCCGGAGCTCTCTGCGACTACCAGCGTCCGGTTTGTCATCAGAGCCATGGAGAGCGCCAGTGCAAGTTTGTGGACCTCCGAGGCTAGGCCGGACACATGATGGTAGTACACCATCAGGCGAGCGCGTTTGCAGTCGCGCGGCCGCTGCAGCTTTCTGAGCCTTTTGTACAGGAGCGCCGCGTCACCGTCCTGTCCTTGGAAACCCTTGCCGCAAGCATGCTTCGTCTCGTCGACGGTCGGGGGAGGGAGAGGGGGAAGGGGAAGGAGACTCTCCGAGTCGATTGGATGCTTGGGGAATTTCTTCTCCTTGTGGCATTCAGGGTAGACGCGACCACTGTGACAACCCTCCAGGTTACAAGACTCAATCTGACCTTGGTAGTAGTTGCACTCCGCTACCCCGTAAGGCATCAGCGTGACTTTGATGCGAGGACTCTCGACTTCCGTCCAGCCCGGGAGAAATCCGACGAAGCGATCGGCAACGTCTGAGTGCTTCTTCGCTCCCCGTGAGATACCCGGGTCGGGACTGCCCTCAGACCGTAGGGTTACTTCCCGCTCGCCGCTTGCTGGAAGATCGGTTTGCTGATGATTCGCTACGTGCTGTCCGCCTGTTTCAGAGACCTCCTCCGACGCTGCCAAGACTTCATGAGCGGCAACGGTCTGCTCCGATCCCTCCAGGAGCTCGACGAAAGTTTTCAGCTTCTCAAGCTCCGCTGTGAGGATGCGCCTGTACCGAGGACGGTGATATGGAGGAAGCAGTCAGTCATAAAGGCAAGTACAGTCGCTGACCCTCACCTCACTCTTGGACTGGTCGAGACAGCCACCAACGACTCGAGCTCGCTCACGTCCTCCTGCTCGCAAAAAGAAACCGTCAAGTTTGCATGCTGGGCAACGCAGACGGAGGTTCTAGACTCCCGGACCTGTAGCCCCGCCAAGACATGGTCTGGATCAGCACCGGCCGTTCCGCAAACAGCAGAACATGCATATAAGAGGAAAATGCTGACGATCATTAGTCCTGTCCTCAACATCCCTGTCGTCCCCTGGCTGAACAAGGGCTTTCCGAGTTCCTAACCTCTCTCCAGCGGCGGCCCAGCAGCAGCCCAGGATCCGGCTCACGAGTCAGGGGGTCACCAATGTCAGGGGGTGACTCAGTGACGTGTGACGGCACTGAACGGTGCCACACCGTCAGGGCCGCTCAGCCGCTCCTCAAGCTCACGGGCACTGAGGCTGCCGCCGCCATGGACTACCGATCCGTGGCATCAAACTTGTCAAGAGGTAATACTTCAAATACTCTACTGAGACAATCTCGGAGTTTGTGACAGTGGCAGGCTATCGCCCGGCGCCCGGCCCGGGACGGACAACCGTCCGTCACACGGCGGCCGCCGCGGCCCGCGGCGGGCCGGGGGCGGCCCGGCGCGGCGGGCCGGGGGCGGCCCGGCGGTGGGTGAGCGGCGCGGCAAAGTTTGAACCCGCCGTCCGATCCGACGGTCACTGCCCCCGGCCTTCTTTCACTCAAAGTCACTAGTACCGTCTATCATTCAATGACTAGTTATTATGCCGGGAGCCAGGCTGGCTGCCCATAAGTAGTAAGTACTTGAACTTGGCTCCAGTGGCCAGGGGCCGGGCCCGGGCCGGCGGCATGGGTCACCGCGGTTGTTCGAGTCTAAGTTTCAAGTTCTCGAGTCTCGCCGGCAGGCCGCGCTGTCTTCTGAGTCTGGCACCTTGAGTAACTTTAGCCTAGTAAGAGCCTCCGACTGGGCACTGCGGCAGCCCCGGGGCCGCCGCCCGGCCCGGGGGCGGGCCAGGCCGCGCCTGTACGGTACCGTGCGGTACAGAGCCGGGCTATAGTCTTGTCTTCAGTGTGGGCCTGGCTGGCCCTTTTTTGGAGCCGCCTCCGAGTGTTAACAAATCTTCTGCCCTCCTCGATTATAGAGAGATCTTCTGCCCTCCCCTGGGTCATTATCAGTATCTTTACTCATTCTATTTAAAATGGGGTAGGTTTTAAAAATCGCTGGTCTTTTTTTAATTACGAAGATCTAAATCGGGCACTGCATAAACTCGAGGTAACTGCATGGAAGTTCGATGGCTGTGCTTGCGGCAACTCCTCCCTCCTATGCTCGCCCTTCATGCTCATGCTGCGTTCTTATCGATGTATCATGATTATTCGACCATGACTGACTGAAGTTTTTTTCTGTTGTGTATATTTCTATTCGGTGTGAGAATACCATTGCCTTTGCTGCTTTCGATTTGTTCGTTGCGCGTTGATTCAATTCCTTGGGGCAGTATCAATGAAAGGAATCTTTCGTCTTTTTGAATTCTACATATTGTGATGTGATATATTGTGCCATTGTTTCAAGTTTTTCCTGATTGCGTGTGGCGTGGACTAATCTTTTCCCATTTCTTTCCCATTCGCCTTGTGTGCATGAGTTGTGTTTATATGTTGCATACAAGAAAGAGGAATATATCATTTCCATGGTATGTAGTTATACCCAGCTGATGTTAATTTTCCAGATGTTTGAGCTCCTCCATATCAAGAACAAGAACAACACTGGATCCCTCCCTCAGTTCTCGACCGAGGCTGGCGTTCCCCACTTTGCCTGGAAGTTGGCTCTTGCTGCTGGCCCTGTTGCCAACAAGGACAACATCACCAAGATCGAGCCCATCCGGTAAGACAACTTCTGACATTTGCGATCGTGCTTGTTCTCCTCCTCACTCTGTTTCAAATAGCTTCGGTGGACAGAACACCGTTGAGATGGCTGATGCTATCAACGGCCAGGGCAACTTTTCCTCTTAAACTTTTAAAACCTCTCCGTTTATGCCTGAAATAACAAATGAAAAGTTAAACTGACGATCTCACCCTTCTATTTTACATCTTGTTCTCCGGCAGGGAACCACTCTTCTCTCCCTCATCTCATCTCATCTCATCTCATCTCATCTCATCATCTCATGGTACTCTTCCTCCTCACAGGTTTCGGCTTCCAGTCAGGATCAAAGCTTGACTCCTCCTTGACTTTGCTCGACCACTCCCTGTCAATATCCATTTCTTCCTCTCCGCCCGCTCCTTCCATCGTGTCCTTCCCTGCCACCGTCCCATCACCCGCTGCCGTCTTGCTCGTGTTAAAATCTTCTTCAATCGGATTGGACTCGCCGTCTCTTTTCAGCAGCTCATCGAAGCTCATATGCACTTCCTGCAAACAAACCTGGTTGAGCCAACGATGGTATGCTGCCTTCCCTCGCGGCTCCTGCGGATGCAGCGGAAGCCCCATCTTGCGTTCTACCTTCTGCAGCAACTTTCTATCCCTGGGGATCGGGATTGGGCACAGGGTGGAGCGAGTGTTCTGATCCAGATCCGTGTCCAAGAGGAGGGGCGAGTCGTCGGGGTCGGGCAACTTGGGATAGAGATTTTCCTCCAGGGTGCGAGACATAATCTTTTTGTCATCCTCTGTCCGATCCTTGACCAAGTGATCCCACTCAGTGCGGATGTGCCCCCACGCCCAGAGCTCTCGCTTGTAGACGTTGTCGGGGTCGAAGATCGGATCAGGTCCCTGTCGCCTCCTCTCCAACTCCTTCAGATGAGCCATGTACAGGTCCACCCACTTGCGGATACGCTGCAGCGTCTGCGTGGAGACGTATTTCTCCTGCTCTGACTTCAACCTTGCCGCTGTGTAGTTGAGCTTGCCCCGTACGCGCAATCCTCCCGCAAGTTCGTACTCCAAAGGCTGCTTTCCGTCACTTTCCATCCTTGCATCCTCTATAGCTGCACAGTAGAGGTCATCTTCGTCCGACACGTCGGGCTCGAAGTACAAGTTCCCTTCTGAGTCAGAGACGAAGTTGTCAAGCGGATGGTTGGCCCAGGCAGGGAGATCCTCTTCTTCACCCTTGAGACCGCTATGTGAAAGGAACTCGTTGCTCTCGTTGATGAAGACCGACGGGCGCAAGATGTAATATCCCACTGCGTGATACAGTCTCTCCGACTCCGGCAGATTTTGATCGTTGTCCGGTGGGAAGAAATCGAACATCACGGGTGTTCCGAGGAAACTGCAGGAGAATAAGTCGAGAATCATGGGCAGGGTAGAGACGAGAAGGAAAGGAATAGAAAAAGAAGACGAAAACTATCTTGAAAGCGACGTGTGCACAGAGGGAAAGAGTAGGGGAGGGCAGTACGTGGGAACCACCAAGTAGGACCAACCTGTACTCTTTACGCCGTTGTTGCCGCACAGTCTCGTTGCGGTTTTCAAATACGATATCTTCGAAGACAACCCCCCTAATCGTCGAGTTCCTGATTTCCAAGTAAGTTTGGTTCTCTGCCCCGATCCAGATAGCGGCTGATTGCTGTTGCAGAAGCTTGCAGTTCAGCACCTGACAGGAATCGGTAAGCTTCCTGCTATCATGGTACAGAGGCATGGAAGGGACAGAACCTGCATCTTGGCCTTGCATGTTACCCCGACAGCGTATACATTGTCCCGGAACAAGCAATCTTTCAATGTCACGTAACCCTTGTCCTCTGCTCGAACCCCGATTCCTCCCAGCAGCCCTGTATGGAACACAGAAGTCCTCTCCATGATCAGCCGAGCTCCGAGGCTGACCGTCACTCCATCTCCTGCCAGCTCGAACATGTCCATCCCTTCGCCTCCGATGGTACAATCCGACACCCACGCTGCGCCGAGTCGGAACAACTTGATCGCGCTAGCAGAGATTGTGATGACCTTGCACTTGAAGGAAGGAATGAGTTCCTAGGAGTTAATATTCTCATTCACCTCATCAATAGTCCACGGCCCTCCCCAAATGCTAAGACATGCGTCCTCCAGTGCCTGATCCTGCAAAAGTTTTCACTGCTCCGCCCAAGCGTTCAGAAAGCAAACTCATGTACGTAAGGATTTCGTTGGACAGGAGGATAGAATTGACACCGAAGCTTCTGGATCGTTCCATTCGTCCCTTCCTGTAGAGTAAACGATTATTCTACAGGCGACAGACAAAGTTCTCAAAACTTACTTGCAGGTCCCATGAGCCATTAACGACAGCGGAATCACTCACTCCCTTCACAGACAAGGTGAAGCCAATAGGGATCAATGCCAGTTGCGTCTCAATCTCGTGCAATCCATCCTCGACATCAATGTTTCCATGTGTGCCATGTTCAGTGAAGACTGACTCCATATATTCCGTTCTGGTACAGTTGAAAGCTGCACTAATCGCAGACAACATGTCATATGCCACGAGGCTTCCCTTGCCTTTGATGACATCGTACTCTCTGACGTGATTATCTGGCGGATTTTTCAACAAGACATGTCGACTGACCTGCTTTTGTAGCAAACGTTTCACTTCACCGGAGGTATGGCTTCCTGCTACAGCGAGAGAGAAATTGCTCTCGTTGAACATACAAGGAAAATACCCTAGCAAACCTTGTTGCTGTTCCTGAACGTCCTCATAGCGGATCTCCTCATTGCAACAGAATTCCACCAGACTCCTTGCAAGTTCATCCCATTTCTCTTCCATCTCCCCTTCCATCTCCCACCATTCCTTGTCAAGTGCCGTCATCGACTCAGCGCGGGTTGACTCCCTCTCAACTTGAGACTTCATGCTCTGGGACTTTACGCCCTGCGAATCTTTCTGTTTATCCGTCTCCTCCAGTCCGAAGAAGTGCTCAGCGTCCAATGAAGCTCTACTGTCCAGCGCTCGATGTCGCTCCACCAGTTTGGGGCTCATCAGGCTCGATACTTCTGGAATCTTCTCACCCTTGGCAGCCATACGCGTGAGGTTCATGTAGAACTCCGTCGCGTCCTGCACGGAGAGGGAGTCTAGCTGTGGTCTAGCATACCTTGCTGATCCTGAAGCACAAGAAAACAACATGGGTTGGTAAGGTGCGCAAGCATCGTCGGAGATCCATACCTTCGGCTTGACTATCATCGCTTAGGTCCTGCATCATCCCCGGAACGTACTTGTCGTCGCCATCGGTCAAGCCTCCTCGAAGAGCTCTCAAGCGCAGCATTTCGCCTGCTCTTCGATGCCTCAGCATCACTGCGAGCTCTAGGGCTCCCAATCCGCGCTCATGCATCCGCCCTGACCTCATACCTCCACACCCACACCTCCTCCACAATCTCGAACCGACATCGCCCGGCAACCAGCGGCGCCAGCCTTGCTCCTTGGCTGCTCGCAGCAGCATGGAGACTGGCTTACTGTTCTCTTGAGAGTTGATGACGACATGATCCCCCACGTGGCAGACCCAAACAAGCAGCGCCAGGGCCCAGCCCCTGCCCGCCATTGCGCCCTGTCTTCGTATACGGCAGGTTATGAGCCTGATAGATTTTACACAGAAAAAAAACAAGTATTTTAATATAGGTTTTTATATTTCATTTTCGATGTGTAAAATATTCGCCCCCCTCAATCTCATGGGTACCCCCTCTTTCCTGATGGTATACCCCCACCTATCACATATGTTGACAATGTCCTTTGAGTCTTTTCAACCCAATGTTAGTGACTACCCACCTTTCGAACGAATCCTGATACCCTACCACATAAATACCATGAAAATCAATAGAAAATATGGGTACTACATGGACCCCACCCTCCAAATTGTTTCTAGTCATGTGACCCCGTATTTCTCTATCGGAGCATGGCTTCCGAACCTTAGGAGGACCCTACCACATGGAAGGAAATGACCACTACCCTTTAATATCCTGTAAAGTACCCGTCATCAGAACCATGGCTTGATCAAGGACCCCTCCAGGGACATATTTCGGCAGAGGAGGAATCACCCAAACTACCCCTACCCCCAGCCCGGCCCCGGAAGCCTATGAAAACTCCGAGGTACAGCCATATCAGGACCCTCTTCCTCCCTCCTCCCTCCCTCCCTCCCTCTTTTTTTCCCTCCCTCCCTCCCTCCCTCCCTCCCTCCCTCCCTCCCTCCCTCCCTCCCTTCCCTTTATCGATTTTCCTCCCTCCATCTCAGCTCTCTGCATCTTGTTTCCGCCACTTCATTCGTGCACGCCCGTTTTTCAGCAACTTCTTACATCGGCCAGGCTGTCAACGTCGTACGGATTCCAACCTTTCGCAACTATTGCGAGTCCAACTACACTTGTTGACCTCCATATCCACAGTGTGGGAGTGTAAGATCCGCTCACGATCGTGGACCGCCGGTGTTGAATCGTCCGTAAGTTCTAGACTGTGTTTCTCGGCCTTGGTTCTTTCACAGGGAAATCAAAACTTCATGCAATATAGCTGAACTACGAAAAAATGGGAGCTACGCAAAGTCTGGACTTTGACATGGACTGTCAGAAACCTATTTCAAACATGTGCTTGGCAAAGCCCGACAAAACTCCTGAACAACCGCAGGAAATGTTGAGGAAAAATCGAAGTTTCAAGAAAGAAATTGGGAGAATAGACTCGCGGCTTGCCGTGCTAAGAACGGAGTTGGGATCAATTAATAATAAGATAGAGAAAAACGAGGCCAAAGTATCCAAGTCCGTCTTGCCGAGCGACCAGAAGATTATTGACACGACTCTGAAGCAGAATAGTGTGCTTCTTGACCGACAAAATAGTTTAATCTTCGAGATCAAGGAGCTAGAACTAGCTCAAAGTCGACTGAGGAGAACATCTGAAGACCTGAGAGAGGAAATGAGCAAGTACGGCGCCTGCAATGTCAGATTCTCTGATTAATGTTAATGTTAAAAATGAAATGATATTATTTGTAATCATCCGAGGACGGTGAAAGGATATAACTTGGCTTAGTAACGATTTTCACCTCAAATAGACTCGGCAGTGCCGTGTGGCCTGGGCAGCTATCGTCACGGATATCTTCAGTCATGTATAATCCAGCAATCCGACATTGAATGATGACTGATTATGCTGGATGACCGCCGGGGTCCCGTCCCGGATCATCGCCGCCGGATCACGGCGGCCGGGCACTGCCGCAACTCAGTGACCGTTGCAACTTGCCTTGCCACCGGCAAGGCGCCCCGGCGGTTGTCGTTGCCGCAGTGCCCTGGCAGGAACATCGAATTCCTTGGCTGTGCAATCATCGCGGCCGTCCTCCGACTCGCCCGGCCAGTACTCCGGACTGGAGTCCGGCCCGTTCACAGAGTCATTCGGAAAACTAAGTTGAAACTTTTAAAGATTCCCCGCGGCCAGCCCGTCGAGTCGGAGTGACTCGGCCCCCGCGGACTCTCGCCGCTGCCCGGCGCCGGCGCCGGCCCGGATCACCGACAATCGGATCGGTGACTGGGGGGCCTCAGCCTCGAAGTTACTCAGTAGTCTGATTAGACCAATCGGCGGACAGCCGGCCCCCGAAATGCGGCCCCTGGTCGTTGAGGTGTATCACCGTCAGGTGCAAGCAAGACAACAAGTACCAAGCCTTGAAGAGCAACGTGAGATTGAGGAGACCCACACGTTACTGCGAACTAATCAAGACTTCCTGATCTCCTCTTGGTATCTCATCAGTGTTGAATCTTTGCTCGATCTTGTTTCCAATCCTCTCGTGACCTTCTCTTGCAAGGGTGTACATAGATATCCCTGTGGCCCGCAGGTCTGTTCTGCCCCCAGTCCTTGCATACGTTCTCAAGAATGTTCTCGAGCAGTGCTACCATGTACTTGTCATTCAACGTTCTTGCCGTCCTGTCACTTGTAGCCTGCCTGCTCCAGAATTCGTTGGGGTTTCAAACGCTCACTGCAAGAGGTTTCCTTCGTGGCTCCAACCAAGTGAGATGTCGGCGCCAAGCTTACTGTCGCAAAGTGAACATCTTTAAGCTCAGATGTAGCAATGCTGAAGGGTATGTATGATCTTGTTGTTTGCGGCTGTTTCCTCTCAAGACCTTACAGTCTCAGGACACTCTTCAGCCCTCCTTGGTCGTGTCTAGAGAAGTGTGGGGCTTGCTGCTACCTCCTCCCAGAGGAAAGGGATCTAGACTGCTTGTCCCCTGAGGATCGAAAGATATACATCGACATGGCGGGGGAGGACGGATGGTGCAAAAACTTTGACAAGGACAAGCACCTGTGCAGGATCTACGATGAACGGCCAGGGTTTTGCAGGATGGAGGTAAAGATGGGCATGACTTGATTTTACCTCATGAGATGGGCAGAACATCCAGATGATGTACAGCATTGAAGAAGAAGAACTGGGAGACTTTGCTGCAGACGCTTGCAGGGACCACATCGATGAGGTGTTTGCGAACGTGCGACTTGACTGTTCATCACCGATTCATTGCAGCTGTACGGAGAGGACTCAATCACCCGGATCAAGTTCGACATGCTGCAAGAGAAGGTTAGAGAATCTAGTGGATGGAGCACTCCGCCGAGATCTGAGGAGGGTGACGTTGACTTGGAAGAGTTGTTGAGAACAAGGGAGGAGGTGAGATCGGTCATGCTAGCTTCTCCTCTCTCTTACCCATGGTCATCAGCTGCACAAAGTGATCGAGTCTGGAGTCCCCGACGATGAGAGAACGGGGATGAAGGAGATCTTAAGGGTGCTGAACGAGGCGATCGATGCAAAGAGGAAGGAGACGTAGCGAATGCCCGATCACTGGATCCGGGAGCGCAAGGTCGGTTGCCCTTTTTTTCGGAACCCTAGAACTAGCCTTGAGTCCAATTACCAGATCCATCTTGCATGATAAGAAGAAAGACCACTTGTGATGGCGTTGGCAACAATGCAAAATGGAGAGTTGGTTCTAAATCTTGACTTCATGCAGAGGAATAAAAGATAGATAAGAATACTGCGCTCAAAGAGTCAAAGCCTCTTCGATGAATCGTGGATGCCATGGACAAGATTCAAGAATAACAAAAGGAGGGATAGGAGCTGATGCATCTCATTCATCGAATAAAAGTTCTCACTAATAGACGAGCAAACTAAATATACAAGAACCCGTTGACGCACCATCAACACAAGCAATCAAGCACGAAAATGCATTTACACTATAAAGGCTCTTGAATGCCCAGACACCTTCGCCCGGTCTTCATGAACTCAACAGATTCTTCTCACACCGCTCTGGTGGTTTCGAAAGTGTGAAAACGCAGAGGCGGAGCAAAGACTGCTCCATGAAAGTAACAAAACAAGTCTTCACTTTTCACACGATAATCAGCCCAAACCTCGCTGAGCTTCTCTTGGTTGTAGGCACCACTCACTTGTGTCTTCAGGCATACAGAATTCCATCGAGCCAACCGCAATCTCCTCCATCTCGTTGGGGCCCTCTTGGCTGGATTGATCCAAGCACTCGCAAGTGCTCTCCTCCCGTGACCACCGGGTGGGTCCGAAGCTTGCATCACTCTCGTCGCAGGAGGAAGAGCTCCGCCGCACATTTGATCTCGACAAACAAGATTCGACGTAAGGCGCGCTGGAGCATGCAGACTCGCCTCCTCCTTCACCTTGCTCACATTTTTCGCTCACCAAGAACCGCATGCAACTATCCTGAGGATTCTCGTGGGTCTTATCCGTTTGCGACGGCGACGGTTGGTTGGGCTCTGATTTCTGCCTTTGTGCCTGCGGAAGCTCCTTGAATGTATGAACCAAGTTCTTTGTGTGTCTTGCCCACGATTTCCTATCCCATACGTCACGGACGGTCTTGGAGCTGATCCCATAGAACTTGGCGATCACCTCGCTCTCCACATACTTGCTCGTTGGATCGGATGTTCTTTCTTGAAAGATTTTTGCAGCCAGATCGGCACTCAGTTTCCGTTGACGCACCTGGATGTTGCGTCGTCCTGCAACCGTCCCGGTCAAGGGGCCAGCGACTGGATAGGCAGATTCTTCCTTCGCCACCTGCTGGTCGAAAAAGACCCTGCGATAGGGGAAGAAGTGGGGCCCCGATAGTCTCTCGCTCATATCGCAAAGAATGCTCTTCGACAGACCGGCTGATCGCTGTAGACGACGCTGTAGGGAACAGAACCGGGTCGAACGAAGAAAGTTGCCGTGGAACAAGAAGAAAGATGTTATGAGAAGATGGAAGCTCAGCAAGAATGAGAGAAGAGGGAAAGTCAGTAGTCAAGGCGATCAGTGGAGGGCGGGGAGGAGCACATACAAGGGATGCGTGGCGTAGTTGTATACTTATTATTGCTTCAGGAAAGAGCCCCCAGAGGGGGTCCTCAGTGTCTCATGAGTGGACGAAGCTCAACGAGATGGAATTGGTTTGTGACTTAGGTCGGGACTTAGGAAATCGACGAGCCTGGCTCAGGGGTCAGGCAGAGAAGAGGGGTTTAGGGCTAATAACCGCTCGAGGTCGCGCCTGCCATGGGTATAATTGTAATTGGATATTTGATGTTTTATATTTATTTACTCACCTGCGAACTTCATGAAAGCTTGTTCTGTGCAACTACACCGACAAAAATTTCCACACCCAAGACAGCCAGGCAGAAATTATCGAGAGCAGACAAGGAAGTGTTTTACTTCGAGACAGAGTTGATCTCTGCTTGAATGATGATTGACTCGCTGTTAATGATTGTGACCAGACTGAAAAAGCCATTCCATCGGAACGAGTAATAGATCTCAAAGCATTTCATCCTTGCGCAGGGCTTTTCCTTGAAAACCCCCCGGAGAAGTACGGGATGGTACGTTCACAAGCATCTTCTAGCCTCGTCGGAGCATTCTGCAACTTGTTTACTTCCTGTCTGTCAGCATTCATTCGAGCTGTACTCTTGTCGTCCCTTGTACTATGACGTTCGTCGTTTAAGTCATCTATATTCACTCCGCTGTACTTCAATATCTCAGTCTTCACAATCTCTCGCTGATTCTCTGCAACCAAACTTGGTCACATGTTGATGCATACTTGGCTCTCTGTCTGCGTTGTCAGAGTGAGAGGCTTGAGGTCAGACATTCTGAATCACCTTCAACGCTGCCATTTGTGACATGTTGAGGAAGATCATGAGGGTGATCTTGATGGTCGCTTACAATGGTGATGTTTGCTTCAGAACGTAGAGAAACATCGTCGCTGCCTATCGATGAAAGTATAGATGCATGAGGCGACAAACTTGTTGTCGCGTCGTCACTAGGACTATCTTTATGGTCGTATTTGTCAAGATGCTCATTATCATCATGATCTTTCATCGCTCGTTCTCTTCTTCTCCTCTGACGCTTCTTCTTCTCTTCTTCTTGTTTGTCACAAAGTGATAAGGCTTTGACTATTTGGACATGGATATATATAAGAATATACATCTTCACAAAGTGACAACAATTCATGCAACAAGAGATGCATCGTTCAAAGGCGGAGAAGTTCAAACATGATGTGAACAAGTCATGTGGCAGAGTGAAACATCTCTCATAAATATGACATTCCATCCAGCATATGACGATCCGGGAGGTCTTCGTGGAAAAACGTCTTGGTCCCGGAATCTTCCGATTCAACACTGTATTAGAATACGCTTCAGCTGCAACCATGCAGAATCTAGTTCGCAATCACTCAGGGCCAGGCTTATCATGTGCTACCTGTTCGCAACGATTGGAAAATGAAAAATCCACAGAAGAATTCTCTACCTGTGTGATGGGATGGCGGGGTGACTCAGAGTCAGCTGCGAGCCGCTCCGAGTCAGTGCCGGAGAGCCTGATCCGATCAGTACACGAGGACAATCAGCTCGGAGAGTCGAGGAGGCTCAGTGACCTTGACACTGTCGCACATTCCATGCGTGATAGTATTGAGCTCCGGAGTCCGGCCCGGGCCGCAGACCGTATCGGAGTGACGAGGCTGGCCGGTCCCCGGGCCGCGGGCCCGGGCGGCCGGCGGGGAGGGGCTTGGACCTCGTACTGATTTTTAACTTAACATTGAGTAAAGAGACTATGAGAGCCATGTTTTGAAGTTGGTCGGGCACTCGACTCGAACGAGACGCAATGGCTTGCAAGTTGCGACCATCCACGAGCTGCTCCCCTGCTTGCGCTTGCGCCCTCCCCCCCCCCCCCCCTTCTCCCATCTCCCCTCCTCCCTCTCCCAACCATCCCTCCTCATCTCCATGCTCAATGTCGCTCTCTTCCTGCACCACTTGCTCTTGCTCCTGCTCCGGCTCCGTCCTGCTCCTGCTCCTGCTTCCTTTCTCTCCTCCATTACTACCTTCTGCTGCTTCTGCTGTCTCAGTCTTTTCATCTGCATCTCATCATCAAAAGCTGCTTCCGTGTGCCTGCATGTTGACTGGGATGGCCGTCAACCGCATAACATGCTCGCTTCGCCACAAAAGTGTTTTCCTACTTGACGATTGCACCAGGGACCAGCTGCAATGATGTCGCAGAGGCGCTTATGTGGCAATCTTTTGTTCCTCCTCCTACTGCCCAAGATCGCACTTGCCTTCGTCCCGGTGGTGGGGCTGCAACGCGCGATGCCGGGTCATCGCTCAAACCTCTCCCCTTCGAGGGATGCAGCGTTCCTCAGGGTTTTGAGCAGCAGAAATCCTTCTGCTCCTCGAGGATGGAGGACGAAGGTTCCTGTTGCCATGTCGGGATTTTCCCCTCCTTTCGTGGGATCCATCGACGATGGAACACAGAGCTGCAGATGCATCATCTTCGACCAGAAGGGGAAAGTTGTCACCAAGGCGCAGAAGCAGAAGCAACAAATCTTTCCTCAGCCCGGATGGTGCGAGCAGGATCCCCGTGACATCATTGACAACGTGAGATTCTGCATTGAGGAAGCTGTGAAAGACTTGCAGCGGTTGGGCCACAGCGTGGAAGAGGTGAAGGGAGTGGGAATTACAAACCAGCGAGAGACGACGGTGATCTGGGACAGGAAGACTGGCAAGCCACTACACAATGCCATTGTTTGGTTGGACACCAGGAACTCTAAGACCTGTGAAGATCTTGCCAACGCACACGGAGGTAGAGACGCGTTTCGAAGGAAGTGTGGTCTGCCTATCAGCACTTATTTCTCAGGTGAAGGTTGGGGTTGCCAATCGTTGTTTCTCACTGTGTTCGGTCTAAGGCGTAAAGCTGAAATGGCTTTTTGATACCTTTCCTGAGATCTTGGCAAAGGCAGAGAGAGGAGAAGTGATGTTCGGAACGGTTGACTCTTGGTTGATCTACAATCTCACGGGCAAACATGTTACTGATGTTACCAACGCATGCCGTAAGACGCGTGCCTTGCTATGATTTGATTCTCCTTCTACAAAATGATGAGATACAGACGATTTATATTAAACTCCTTGCCTTGAGCATCATGTGATGCAACTACATGCAGTGCCTCTAAAGTTTTGGGCAGGTACTATGCTCATGAACCTTGAAGCTCTCAAATGGGACGAAGAGGTCTGCTCGAAGGTCCATGCAACATGTCAGCCCCGAATTCATGCAACTGATGTTTCGATAGTTCGGAGTGCCAATGTCCATCCTTCCTGAGATCAAGAGTTCTGCCGAGGTTTCTCTCCTGAATCCTGTCGCTTTTTCCTGAGTTGCTGAAAAGATTTACGGCGACATTCTCGATGGTCCATTGAAGGTGACAATGCTTGGCTTTGCTTACCTGTCCCGATATTGGAGGATCAGGGGATTCCTGTTGCTGCCTGTTTGGGCGATCAGCAGTCCGCATGCGTTGGGCATTGCGCTTTCAATCCTGGCGATTCTAAGAACACGTAAGATCATGGGATGCTAATTTCTTGAATCTCCGTTTTGGTCGCAGTCTTGGTGATGCTTATGTTCCATTGACTCACCTGATCAGGTACGGCACAGGGTGCTTCCTGCTGATGAACACGGGAGAGAAACCTTCATTTTCCAATAACGGCCTCCTGTCCACGGTTCGAGCCCTTTCAGTCCAAGTGCTGATCGCTTCTCATTTCCCTGTTCCTCTCAGGTCTGCTATCAGTTGGGAGCAGACGCACCAGCCATCTACGCACTTGAAGGCATCCATTCGGCCTTCCCCAACAGTCCTTTGTGACCTCTTGGCAGGCTCCGTCGCTATTGCTGGAGTTGGCGTGAGCTGGTTGCGAGACAACATGAAGTTTCTCGAGCACGCGGAAGAGAGCGAGGTAAATCTCTTATATCGACCTTGGGTTGTCCGGCTCTGATATAGCTGGACATCAGAAGGTCGCCCGGAGCGTCCCCGACACAGGCGGGGTTTACTTCGTCCCAGCATTCTCAGGCAAGTCTGTCAACCATGTCAAATTACTTCCTCTGCTTCCGAGTCTCATTGTTGCCTTCAGGCTTGTTTGCTCCATACTGGAAGGAAGGCGCCCGTGGTGCGATTCTCGGTCAACTTGTTTCATGAACAATGCCTGGAAGGCGCTGAACTCTTTCTGAAAGGTCTTACTCAGTTCACCACATCTGCTCACATTGTCCGCGCGCTCCTTGAGGCCGTTGCCTTCCAGGTGAAGATACCTTGCGCTCTCCCTCCCCCTCCCTCTCTCCCTCCTCCCCTTCCCTCTCCTCCTTGGGCCCCTTACTCTACGCAGACCGCAGATGTGGTTGATGCCATCATGAAGGGTTCGCTGCCAAGTCTGCTGCCATCGCAACGCTGACAAGTAACAGACTCAGGAATTCAGCTGACCCGCATGAAAGTCGATGGTGGAATGACAGCCAACGACGTCCTCATGGAGTTCCAGGTAATCTTTCCAACCTCCCCTCCTCTCCCAAACACCCTCAACCTCGTCCTCTTGCCCGGCTCTAGTGCCGCAGCTCTCTCCTCACCCTCAAACTCGTCCTTCCTTTCGTGTTATTTCTCCAGCTCATCCTGTCATACTACAAGGCTGATGTGCTCGGAGCCACCGTGATGCGGCCAGCCATGCGGGAGGTTATCAGCTGCTGTGACGTTCGAGTGTCAGAGCCTGACGGGTGTACAGGTCACTGCTCTGGGTGCTGCGTTGGCAGCTGGACTGGCAGTTGGTAAGGAAAGGCTCACTGCTCATGCTGCATCTCACTTTCTCCTCTTAGGCGTGTGGAAGAACATCCAGGAGCTTGAGAAGGTTCAGAGCGACACCTGCGACTACACCTTCTTCCAGTCCAAGGTGGGACTGGGAGCGATGCTGACGTCATCAGAGTTTGCTGAGTGGCCAACAGATGGACACGGAGACGCGGAAGATGAAGAAGATGAAATGGGAGGACGCTGTCAAGAGAACCTTCGATTGGGTTCAGTGACGCGATGGGGCCGAGGTGGTGGCTTTTACCATGTCCTTCAATCGTTGATATGAAAATCTCCCTCCCGCAAAAACTGCTCATGCCCCTCCGTCTCCTTGTACCATTGCACCAGGTGCCTCAGTCCCTCCTCTATCCCCGTCCTGGGCGCCCACCCCAGCAGCGCTCCAGCCTTGCTGATGTTTGCGTACGTCTCCTCTACCTCGCTGGGACTGGAACCTGCGTCAACCAGCGTCGCGTTCTTGCCCAGAATCACCTCTAGGAAGCGGATAAAGTCGCGGACGGGCACAGGATGGCTGTTGCCCAGGTTGAAAGTCTCTGGCCGGAAACAGCCGTTAGCGTCTCGGTGGCTCCTGAACTGGCAGGCGGACAGGATGCCTGAGACGATGTCGTCGATGAAGGTGAAGTCCCTTGCCATCCTCCCTCCTTCATACAGCTTGATGGGCAGCCCCTTGTCAATGTTGTGAGTGAACATGTAAGCTGCCATGTCCGGTCGATTCCATCTGCCGTACACTGTGAAGATCCGAAGGGCGGTGGAGTGTAGGCAATAGGTGTTGTAGTAGGAGAAGGCCAGGAGCTCGTTGCTCTTCTTTGTGGCTCCGTAGAACCCAGCTGGCATGTCCGTCCGGTCGCTCTCGGAGAAAGGTTTCTTTCTGTTCAGCCCGTAGACGCTGCTGGAGGAGGCGTACACGAGGTAGCACTTGGGGCACTGCTTGCGAATGGTCTCAAGCAGGACGGCGAAGCAGTCGAAGTTGTTGCTGACGTACTCGTAGGGCTTGTAGTAGGCGTAGCGAACCCCAGCCTGAGCTGCAAGATGTACAACATGCGTGAAGTTGCTGCTCGAGAAGATGCGCTGAAGCAGCTCCTCGTCGCAGAGGTTGCCATGGTGGACTATGATCCCCCCTTGCTCCAGGATCTCCTTCCGTGCCACCTTGAGCGTCTTGCTGTAGTACGTGTTCAGGCTGTCTATCCCCACCACCTGCTTCGGCGACAACCCTCCTCCTCCGCTTGCCTTTGGCAGGATCATCCCTTGTATCAGATTCATTCCAATGAAGCCCGCGGCTCCGGTCACTAGGACCCTGTCTTGCTCGGTGAAATCCACCCTCCTCTCGCCCTTGTTGGGACAGTCATCCACACAGGAGACGCGACAAGTCTTGAGCAGCAGCATGCAACACACGACCAACCATGCTTTCATCTCGCTAGTTGGCAGGAGACTGGTGGAGCAGATCCGAGCCTCAAGCAGCGTCAACGGGGCAGCAGCTGGACCCGCGTGATGCCATGACGACTCTGCCTATCGCTCCTGCCGCATCATCTTCCCTCCTCCCTCCTCTTCCTTCCTCCCTGCATCCCGTCACCAGGGAAGCGATCCTGGTAAAGATAAGGAAACTGCGCAGGGGGTCATGCGAAGGGCAACGGAGAGCAAAAGAGGGCATATACCTGCATATTTATTATTACCTCTGCTATAGAATATACCAGCCTAGGGTGGGGGCCCCAAAGAAGGGGGACACGAGATTTGTGGGGTAAGTCAGGCGCGCAGACGGAGACAACTGAAGAGCAAGCGGAAGGAACGAGCGAAGGATAGAGGGTAGAGGAGAGGAGCAAAGACAGGACAGGACAGGAGAGAACAGGAGTGAGGATAGGAAGAGCAAGCAGAGGAGGGGGCAAGTGAAGGGGAGGAGGTAGTGGAGAAGGAAAGCTACGGAGGAGGAGATCGCTTGAACATGTATCATCCCAGGTACTCCCTCTTGGTATTGCTCTGCTCTCTGTTGTGATGTCGATGCTGCTCAGGAAGGAGAACGCTTGCTACGACACCACAGAGTGGGACGAGCTGCAGAAGAAGTATGGAAACCTTGATACTGAGCTGGGGAGCGATCGCTACTTGAAGGATCTGGAGGAGGAGACGAGAGCGATAGGAGATCTTCTGAAGAAGCAGGAGAAGGAAGAGGAGAGGAGATGGAATCAAAGGGCGATGGAAATGGGTGATGAAGACGACGAAGCTGACGAAGACGAGCAGACATTCATGGAGAACTACAGGTTGCGATTGGTTTGCGTGCAGGGCGGGTCTGAAGATGGATCTTGTCCTTTCAGGCAGCGCAGGCTCGAAGAGATGAAAGCTGCAGCCAAGGCAGCCAAGTTCGGTGAAGTCTACAACATCTCGGCAGACTCCTTCCGACAGGTCAGCGATGTCACCATGTTGCTCGTCTCAATTGGCTGTCGCAGGAAGTGACGGATGCGGCAACAGAGAGTCTGTTTGTGGTTGTTTACCTGTATCGCGATGGAAGAGCCGACTGCGAGCTTGTGAATGAGATGTTGACCGAGATGGCGAAGAAGAACCCCAACACAAAGTTCACGAGGATATACTACTCGAACGCGGTCAGCATGATTTTCAATGAGCCGTCCAAATTGATGTTGCTTGAAGATCCCCAACTACCCTGAAGCACATCTGCCGACCATCTTGGTATATCATAAGCATGACATCGTCAAGCAGGTATCACAATGCCTCGTGCGCATTGAATCTTTTCTGCAACTCAAACTTGTTGCCGTTTGGCTGATACCAACTCTCAGATAGTAACTCTACGAGAATTTGGAGGTTACGAAAGAATGGCAAAACCAGACGGCAAGAAACTGCTCGCTAAAGCTCTCAGGTTTTTCAACAACAACTTGTCACACGCCAATGATCTTTGAACCTTCTTAGATCCGTTGGTGCCCTGCAACCATTGGAGGAGGATGAAGAAGAGGATGGTGAATGAGGCATTCCATCATTACTCGAGCACAACACAATGAAATTGCTATGGGGTGCCAACTTTTTCTCAAATCAGGTTTACTTCCTACAGGCATGATCAAGTGCAAAGTGAAAACTCTCCTGCTAGCAGGACCATCCCATCTATATTCACACCGCCGACTTCGCCTTCTCAGCGATGGACTGCTCGCCCCCCTCAACAATGGGACTTGGTCCTACCAAAAACAAATTCTTCTCTGCGATCTTCGCCTTCACTTTCGTCAAAACCTCTCCCAGCTTCTTGAGCCCTTCTTCTCTGTCCTGACCTTCAGCTAGGCCGTATGCAAACTTGGCCTGTCCCAAGAAGCCCATTGCCCTGTCACACGCATTCTTCTTCATGGCCTCAAACGCCCTATGGCAGCAAAGATCGCCAAATTGCTTGTGGGGGACCACACTGACGGTGAACTGCTTCCTGAGCCCACCCCACACGAAGCGTACGTTGCCGCTAGTGAGAGCAAAGATCGTGTGATCCCTCCCAAGACCGACGTTGTCTCCTGGTCTGAACTTGGTCCCCCGCTGTCGGATAATGATGTTGCCTACCGTTACTTGCTCTCCTCCTGAAGCAAACATGAGCGGGCAAGGGATCATAGGAGTGAAGGTACACACCTAGTTTCTTCACTCCAAGCATCTTTGGTTGAGAGTCTCTCCCGTTCCTCGAGGATCCTCCTGCTTTCTTCGTAGCCCACCTAACAGCACGAATCAAACTATGCTCAATCGACGGCGAAGCTAGTATGCCGAGCGACACAAGGCATACCTTCGGCTGATCATGCTCAGGGCAGACATGGCAATGTTCACGGGGGGCGCATGAGGGGTCGGAGGAGCTTGCAAGGTCCTGCCCATCATCCGCAGCATAGGCGCAACGCACTGGCTCAGCCGCTGCATGCCGCCGACGACAATTGCAGAGACGGTTCCTTCTGTCAGAAATTTCTTGCGGTTCCTTAAAAATCCTGGTATGAGAGGGGATGCGGGGTGCGGGTTATTCTGCCCATGGAAGAGAAGCTCAAGGAAGCGGGTTGGGGTGCCGCAACTTCCGCCGCCATCGGCAAGATAATGTGAGGAGGAGGAGCAGGAGGAGGAGGAGCAGGAGGAGGAGCAGGGGGGAGAGGAGGAGGAGGGAGAAGGATGGACGGAGGAAGGTTGGAGGCATGCAGGTAGTTAGGTGGGATGGAGGGAGGAAGAAGCGAAGAAAAGAGGTCAATAGGATGAGTAGGTGAGGGACAGAGCAAGGATTGGAGACTGGGCGAAGCGAAGACAAAGCCTTAAGAGTGCAGCATGGTGGATGCGAATGTGCGTGCTGGATGGGCATGCAGTGGTGGATTTGAGCACGGGTAGCTTCGAAGGACTCCTAGACTGAGCTAAAGTTGGATGGAGAGGAGAACTGGAGGGCTGATAACGGTATTTCCTTCTAACTTCTTCTGCAGAAGCCATTCGTTCAACACCCCCGTCTCCTACCCAAAACTTGTAAACTCTTGATGGGCCCATTGCTTCCCTTGTCCCAAGCTGACTGCCAGCTTACAGGGTATGACCGGCGCAGCCATAGCCACTCTCGTGTATTGCCCGACCAAGGTGGATCATTACTTGTTGCCTCCTCCTCCTGACGCTGGCATGCAAGAATTACTTCGCGCAGCAGCGTCAGACCGAGGACGCGCTGAACCATTTCTTTGCGGGTTGTGAGTTGGAGGGAACAACGTGAGCCTTACATCGCACCAGGAAGCATCAGTGGATACATCCTGGGCGCAATGCTGTCGACAGGAAAGTTCCACTTCAGTGTCGTGCAGAGGCTCACGCTTCACTGCAGCCAAGAACTTGACAACTCACGGGTTGGTGGTTGGAGGGGTCGGCGGTGAGGGAGGTACTTCGGGGTTCACGGTTCCCTGACAAGGCAGGGCAGGAATGGGGTTATTCTTTGGGGGGGGGCTCCTGGATGCTCTGAGATTACGAGTGGTGATGAGAGGAAAAGGCGATGGAGTGTTTGAGAGTCCTGACGGGAAGGGCAGGGAAAGAGCATCTACGAGAGGAGAAAGAACGATAGGCCGATCCAAGAGCTGCAGAGTCTTTATGAAAGGGGAAGCCTGACGTACAACGAGTACCTCGACGAGCTAGCAAGCCTGAAAAGGAAGAAAATCCTGACCCTGAAAGGTGCTGCTGCTGGCGTGCGTGTGGTGACTGTGGGGGGAGGAGGAGGAGGAGGGAGGGAAAGGGACACGGCTGGTCAGGGAGAAAGAACAAGAGGGAGAGGCTTGTTGACTTTCCTTCTTCCACTTGCTCCTATGGAGAGGATGATTGCTTTCTTCGCAGAGGAGCTGAAAGAGGAGGAGCCTTGGTGGATGACGTACCTGCCTGTGAGGAAGATGACAGAGGAAGAGATTGAGATGCATGCGGAGAACTGCCGGAGGATAGAGGTAAGGGAGTTTGAATCCGTGGGGGACTGGGTTTGACTTGTAGAGCAGCTCGCTAAGACGCACGTTGACCGAGAGAAAGTCAGGCTAAGTTTCGAGCAAAGTTTTAAAAACTAACGAACTGAAGCCTCTTCTTCTCCCTCGCGCTCCTCCAAGTGCTCGTACTCGCTCGCTGCTCGACTTTTACTCCTTCCCCTTTCACTGGAAACTTCATATCAGACGAAAGAGAAAGTATTGATCCGGCAATTGCCAACACCTTGGCTCCTGTCAGGATGTGCTTGCGCAGTAGCAGTCGCTCAAGCTGCTTTCTCTCCTCCTCCGCTCCGACCTAAGGAGTACTGTCATCATTCGAGCGCATTCACGGCTGGAAAAACAGCAAGATGCCGATAGCGCTGGAACTGGAGCTGGAATTGTTGTGGAGGTGGGTAAAAGTGGTGGTGATCATTGTCATGTGAGGAGGAGGGGGTGGAGATGGAGATGGAGGAGGAGATGGAGATGGAGGTGGTGGAGGAGAAGGAGGATCAGCAGCAGCAGCAGGTTCTTGCGGTTGTTTTGTGGTTTTGGTGTAGGAACAGGAGCAGTCGGAGGTCTGGAAGCACCACTCTCGTTGTCGTTACTGTCTCCATGCTCGCTTCTTCGTCCGTCTGTGAAACGTCACCGTGATCTTTGAGATCAGGACGCACTCGAAAGAAGATGAATGTAGGAGGAGGAGGAGGAGGAGGAGGAGGAGCATGGGAAGTGGGGAGTGAGAAGAGGGGAAGAGCGGGAAGAGCGAGGGGAGACGGGAAGAGGAGGAGGAGGAGGAGGAGGAGGAGGAGGAGGAGGAAGAGGAGGAGGAGGAGGAGGAGGAGGACAGAACCATTTGATGCTCCGCGGGACGCTGAGTGTCGACAGTTTCCCACCGCTCCTTGTGACGTATGGCTTCTTCAACCTGAACCGAAGCTGAGCTGCATGAAACAAGAAAATTAGAGCAGCTCACCGCTGATATCTCTGCTTCCAGCTCTTGGAGAGCTGCGCTGGCCACGACCATGCTGCGAGTGTTTGCGGGTCAGGAAGAGTTGCAGCCGCAGACCTGCAAGACCTGCTGTTCATGATGGTGTTGTTGACAGCAGAAACAGCTGACAGCCAGGAAGAAAGTCAGACAACTTCTTTCATCGTGCAGGTCGTGCATTGAAATTTATACATGCCCCTTCCCCCTCACCTTCTCCGAAACGTAGTGACTCTATCGTCTCCGCCGCATTCTGATTCTCGCACGCACAAGTCACTATCACCTGCAGTCCCAAGTCATGAAAGGCTTTTTACACGTGCAGCATGATCTCACTGAAGTCACGCAGTTGCCGCCCAGGGCACGTCGGAGGAGGAGGGTGAGTTTTGAGTTGGAGTAAGGGACGTAGGGGTCTTGGTTCACCAGCGCCCGAACACAATTCTGCATTCTCAACTGTCAACGAGTCAAACTATGGTCAGACTGCTGGGAAACCTTAAGCGCCAATAGGCCAAGATTGATGTAAATAGCCTCTTGAATCCTGTCTCCTTTGTTTGGAACCTGCCAGTGTGTGAACATGTGGCAACAGGGGAGAGCTCAAGGGTCATACGTTTCGAGACCCGGATGCTAGAACGGATTTTGAAACTGATACAGCGCAGAAGGAGGGTCAGAAAAGTTCAATACGCTAGTAAGAAAGCAGCATGGCATCGAATTTTCGGGGATGGACATCGCAACATTAGCATAGACATCAAGTCATGGAATTTCACACTTGTGATCACAGGCTGCATCGTCAAGCTCATCATGTAAATGGAATGGGAGCATCGAGGATGAAGAGAGAAGGAGCAACGAAGACAACACCTTGCTCTGCTCCGCCGAGGTCAACTAAGCACAGAACGTTCCTGCAGGATGAGCCATCATTCATTTCATCCTGAGCTGCCCTTGACTGATGCACTATGATGACGGTGTGGGCCCTTGAAGACTTGAGATTCATTGCCGTCTCTGGATGAGAACAACAATAAACCCGAGATGAGAAACTGTTATCGCATCTCACCTGCTCTCGTTTTTCTTTGCGAGCCCAGCTGAAGCAATCTCGCACACTCGTCGAGGTTCTGGACACGCCTGGACCCTTGTCCACTTGTGAAGCAAACAATCTCAGTACCCTGGAGTGGTGTCCTTGAAAGAGTTTACCGGAGTACAGCCACGTGAGACAGAGCCTTCTTCTTGGCGTCTTTTGCTTCTTCTTCTCCAAGAAGATCGATGATCTCATCTCCATACACCTCTACCATCGACAATGAATATTCTAGCAATCCTCCGCCTGTTGCTAAATTTTGTTCTCTGGCTTTGAAAATCTTTGAAATTTGTATCACTAGGTGTCAAAGTCCTTTGACGGTAAACCTGCTGTATTGCTCGGGGAACAACACCAGAGGAATCAGAACAGCCGAAAGGATCGACGTGTTCATCCTCAGGGCCAAAGATGGTGAATGTCTTGCCTGTCGTGAGATTTGCATGTGAGACGTCAAAGTCCACCCACCATCATCGATCAGGGATAATGCGAAGACATGAAACTTAAGAGACAGAAGATATCAGATTTAGAGAAGAGGGGATATGAGATTTGACATGAATGTCACTTAAGATCACATGCGTCAGGGCTCAACATACAATGAAATCTGCATCGATCAAGATGTGGAGAACAAAAGTGGGTGAATTCAACTCATCATGGAAGAGAACCAGGTCCCACACTACAACCAAAGCTGCGGAGCAGGCAGCGATTGCAGTCAAGGAAAAGTTGTTAAAGTTCCCACCAGATCCAGTCTGTCCATACGCCATGATGCAAGCGTCTTGACCTGACAGTGTTGTTGTTAGATAACATCGCAGAAAGCAGAGGCTCTAGACCTTGCAGGAAGCGATCAACGAATGGTCGACCGGAGACCTCGTACACCTCCTCCTGCTTCGACTTCTCCCCGTGCACCTTTGCCATCGTCATTACTGCTTAGCTCTCGGTGCGAGCACTGCCAGCAATCGAGTACATGGTCAAGGGAGAAGGGACGAACTCCTGATCCTGGAAGGAATGTCAGACTTTCCCGTGCAGAGTAAGCACGCGTCTAGACGTGCCTGGACAGCACATAAGAACGCTCCCGTTCCTTCCATCTTGGACCTGAAGTTGGTATCCCAGCCTCATCAACCCAACAGCCCTCTCCACTGAAAGCTACTTCTCACCCATAGCATACACGCTTCCACTCTGCGATCAGCCTGCCCTGCGATCAGACGCCAGGTAGGACATCACAGTCTCTGACCTCATTGGGAATGAAGCCTTCGCTCCTGTTGGTGCACATACTCCCCTCCTCTTCCTGCGAAGAAGTTACCTCTGCATCCCTTCCTTCCTCGCAGTCAGCACAGAAATCTCAGCGTCTTGCCATGGGTCTTCTTTTCCTCCCCGTGACTCCCATAACAATCGCTTTGCCTGCAGAGTGTCACAGGCATCAGTGCAAGCAAACGAGCAGAGAGGGAGAGACAACTTTCTAGTGACGCAAACGGAAGAAGGGGAGAAACGATAGGATTGGGAGGAAATGCAAGAGGGAGAGGGGGCGGGGAAGGAGACAGGCAGGCAGGCAGGAAGGCAGGCAGGAAGGCAGGCAGGCAAGCAGGAAGGCAGGAAGGCAGGAAGGCAGGCAGGCAGGCAGGCAGGCAGGCAGGCAGGCAGGCAGGAAGGCAGGCAGGCAGAAAGGCAGGAAGGCAGGAAGGCAGGAAGGCAGGCAGGCAGGCAGGCAGGCAGGCAGGCAGGCAAGCAGGAAGGCAGGCAGGCAAGCAGGCAGGAAGGCAGGCAGGCAAGCAGGAAGGCAGGAAGGCAGGAAGGCAGGAAGGAAAGAGGGAGGGAGGGAGGGAGGGAGGAAACCTCTAGAGGACTACAGGCCTCGCTACTTTGTATCAATTTGAGCCTCTGCACAAATCTCTCAGCTGTCAGTTGAGAGCAACAAGACATTCCTGGTGGAGCGGCAGAACGACGGACTTTCCCGCTAGCCCACCACCGTCACAGCAGAGCGTTGCAAGAGAATGTACAAGAGTATACCTACTGAAGCTGCTCTGCCGACCATGGGCCTTATCCTGGCAGCCACCAGAATATGATAGCTTTCCTTCCCTCCACCTCCTCGGAGAGCAACTGTGCGGGTGAAGAAGGAGACTTCCCGGCCATGCTGACAGCAGCAGGCGGCTCGCATACAACGGCCCTCCTCCATCCTCGCGAAGCCTCCTACCGCCATCGCCATCCCCAAACCTAGCATGAGCTTGAGAAGCCCTCCCACCATTGTTAATCTGTGTTCCGCGAACACCGGCAGACCCGAAAGTGACTTTGCAACGAGGCACTGGCAGGATTCAGCCTCCGAGCGCCGCCCGGCCCGGCGGCCGGGCGGCCGGGCGGCAGGGAACGGCCCACGCCGGGTAGCTTGAACTGAGTCAGTGACGGTATCATTAAGGGGGCCAGCCAGCTTTAGGCGGCCATTCCCCCATCAGACTCTGAGTAGGCCATTCCTCCATCTGACTATCAAAAATCAACGGTTCATGTCGATCACATGTCATCCTGATGACTGTAAGAACTATGAACAAACTTCTTTTCGTATCCCCCGAATACGCCCCACCACTACTGTGGAGTGCTTTTAAGACATCTTCAGCTTCGTCCTCCACTGCTAACGTGTATGCACATGACTTCAACACGCCTTCCTGCTCCTCCCTCCGTCCTCATCCAAGCTCGCCCTCGTGCCTCCGACCAACGTGATCAGATCCGCCTGGACCTCCTCACCATCTCCTCCCTCTTCCACCTCCGACAGCTCGAGGCCGCTCGCATCCTGGTAAGATGTCGCTTGCTGAGAGTGGAGGAGAGGCGGAGAGGTGGAGAAGAGAGAGGAGGGCAGGAGCTGACGGGGAGGGCAGGGGATCTCGCTGACGTCCCTGAAGAGCGCGTGCCGGAGGCTGGGGGTCGAGCGATGGCCGTACACGCGGGAGGCAGTGCAGGAAGCTAAAGGAGTAGCTAGGGAAGAGGAGGGCACGGGGCAGGGATTGACAAGTGAAAAGCAAGGGCAAGACGCAGAGTTGGAAGCAGAAGAAGAGAGGGAGCACAGGTGGATGGATTGGTACCTGTCCTTTCCACTGGAAGAGACCTTAGAGGAAGGGGAAGGGGAGGTTAAGATGTCTCCATGAAGCATTCCCCTATCAATCGGGTTAACTTTCGACGCAAGTAAAGAAGATGACAAAGAGACATGCTGTAGCTCAATCTGCCACCGTGCGAAATCAAGCATCGTGATAGTACAACAGCTGCCTTACAAGCTGCGCAGCCTGCCTATGATCACGAGCTGGAAGCGTCGATCCTCACTCACCCGCAACAAACGACATTCATGTGTTTGCATCCTCAGTTGTGCTGGAGTTCTCCTCTACCTACCTCTCAGCCTGTCAGCCGGTGGTTCCGACTGGCCCGGAGCTTCAAGGCTCCGGGATGAGATTGCTCACAGCAGCAGGAAGATCATCAGCGACAAGGACCGTCCGGAGGAAGTTAGATGACCAGCACGTATCTACAACCTCCTAGGTACTGGCCAGTGCGACATTTGGCCTTTGAATGAGACTAGACAGGAAGATAGCTGCGTATATGAAGACACTCATCCTTGACTCTACCGAGACATCCGCGAAATCACAAATACAACTATGACTAGCACAGGCTGACCTGTCAGCTGCTCTATCGTGAATGCTGAGAGATAGTCTCACCCAACACCCACCTGATCATATCCCGGCCTAGCACCTACTGGCTGACTACTTCCTGGTCAAGACATGGTTTGCTGATCCAGACCCTTTCCTTTCCCATGTGTACTCAGTCACTGCAATTTGGTTGTCTTGACATCTCACTGGGCTCCAGCCCACTGGGCGCATGCCCTCATGCAGTGAAGCGCATCCGATCAGCTGCGGTGGACTTTGAAGACAGCGATGCTCGTCAGACCCTAGCAGCCAAGACATTCGTCCGCAAGTATCTCGGTGGAAGGGTTGACAATCTTCAACCCTTCCACTTGCACTGCGTTGAGATGTCATTGGATTACTGTCAAGCTAGTTTGCCAAGAGTCCATGCCCTAGTTGTCCCCATGTTGACGACAGTTGTATATCCTGCCGTCGGCGTTGAGCTCCTATATCAAGGACGCGCGGTTTGTCGTCGGACCGGCAAGACAGCTGGCCACCCAATCACTTTGGTAGCCCAGATGACTTTGCTTCTTCGCATGTACGACACCTGTCTCTGCCATGCTCTACAGGGCAGACGCTGTGGCGTTATTGTGTTGTCTCAGACCATGTAAGAGTAGAGTCTATACTACGAATATTTTACATTCCCAATGCTCCACGGATCGTTCACATCTTGATCGTGGGCGTCATTGTGGTGTGCGTCCCAACTGGGCTTGCGGGGATTGCCCTCAAATCCTTCGCCGTCCCAGCTAGAGGCCTTATCATCCACAGGAAACGACAGATACCAGTCCATCCACCCTCTCTCTATCTTACTCTCACTCGCTTGCTGCAAACCATATCCTTGCTCGCTCGGAGATGCTCCAAGTGCGGCGACGTCTGGCTCTGATCCTGTCACGTGTCGCGCAGGCGTTTCAAAGACATCTGTGCGGTCAGGAGATGTTGCATCCCGCGTGTACGGCCATCGCTCGACCCCCAGCCTCCGGCACGCGCTCTTCAGCGACGTCAGCGAGATCCCCTGCCCTCCCCGTCAGCTCCTGCCCTCCTCTTTGTTTCCCCTCCTCTCCTCCTCTCTCAGCAAGGGACATTCTTACCAGGATGCGAGCGGCCTCGACCTGTCGGAGGTGGAAGAGGGAGGAGATGGTGAGGAGGTCAAGGCGGATGTACCTGCGTTGGTCGGAGGCACGAGGGCGAGCTTGGATGAGGACGGAGGGTCCTGTAGCGTGAGGAGGCTGTTGTGTCGCCATGGGACCTGTATGCTTGAGGGACTGATGGTACTGAGATGGGGTTTTGGAGACGGCAACGAGCAAGGTAGTGCTCTGGTGGAGCTATCAAGTGGGAGCACTTGCCAAGATTGGAGCGCCACCGTATACAAATCTCAACGTGCGACTGGGCTCTGATCAGAGCAGGGGCAAACAGACTCCGCCGGAGCCTTCGTGCATGATTTCCGCCGGAGCCTTCGTGCACGGACTGCTGTCCCCCAAACTTAACTGATACGGAGGCTTCACTTCCTCGCCTCTCCTGATTGTCCTCGTACTGATTTTTCACTTAACTTTGAGTAAAAGATTGCACCCGGACGGCGACGCGCGGCCCCCGGGCCCCCGGGGCTCCGAGGCCGCGTGCCACAGGCACGGTGACACATTGAAAAGAGTCTCGGTGTCCGGACCGTGACCCGGACTCCGGATCTAAAGCAGCGGCCCGGCCCTGCCAGTGACTCCGAAACCTGACCCGGAGAGGGCACTATCAAGTAACCGGGCCAGCCTTCAACTCAGTGGCGGTCACGGTAATATTAAGGGGGCCAGCCAGCTTTAGGTGGCCATTCCCCCATCAGACTCAGGCTGAGTGGGCCATTCCTCCATCTGACTATCAAAAATCAACGGTTCATGTTGACATGTCATCCTGATGACTGTAAGAAAGTAAGAAAGATGAACAAACTTCTTTTCTTCATTTCATATCTCCCCGAATACGCCCCTCAGCCGCTACCGTGTCACGGGAGAAAGTTTGTTTGCTCCGGTTTGCACGTCTTTTTCAGTCAATAAAAGTTTAAGACATCTTCAGCTTCGTCCTCCACTGCTAACGTGTATGCACATGACTTCAACACACCTTCCTGCTCCTCCCTCCGTCCTCATCCAAGCTCGCCCTCGTGCCTCCGACCAACGTGATCAGATCCGCCTGGACCTCCTCACCATCTCCTCCCTCTTCCACCTCCGACAGCTCGAGGCCGCTCGCATCCTGGTAAGATGTCGCTTGCTGAGAGAGGCGGAGAGGAGAGGACGA